TCTGCTCTAAACCACAAAGTTACCTGGACACTTTGGACACTTTCACAATATTTCCATCCCTTTTCCCGTCGCTCCCTTCCTTTTCCCGATACTTTAGAGAGGGGTGGGAGTGGGGATTATTGCACACGCGGTCTAAGGGAATGCGCTGGTCCCAGCACATTCCAGATGTGGCAAAACAAGCTCCGATGTGCAAGTATGAATTATGAACCTACAATGTTTCCTTCCCTGGCACAGTTTCTGCACCTTCTGACGACGCCTGCTTTTACAGCACATGCAGCAGAAAGAAAACACCCAAATCATAACATAGATAGTACAAAGGGAGCATTGACGAACTTAAGGACAGTTCAAGCACAGGCCACAGTGTTCGTGCCAGATGGGGAAGTTATTGTGTGGCCTGCAGCCCTAACACCAACTAGCGCCACTGAACAGTTTTGCTACTGCAGGAATATGCTCACAGGTGCATCTGTAATTCACACAGTACACCCCTCCTGCTGTCCATTCACAGGCAAGCATGGAGCTCAGAAGACCTGTGAACTAGCAGACAGGAATTCTGGAAGCTTCTGGCTGCAGAAGAGGGTTCATCCCATTGCCCTCCTCAGCATTGCCCTACAGCTGTTATTAGGCCGCATCCATACCATAAATTTATGGGACGCGGGTGGCACTGTGGGTTAAACCACAGAGCCTAGGACTTGCCAATCAGAGGGTCGGAGGTTCGAATCCCCGCGACGGGGTGAGCTCCCGCTGCCCTGTCCCTGCTCCTGCCAACCTAGCAGTTCGAAAGCATGTCAAAGTGCAAGTAGATAAATAGGTACCGCTCCGGCTGGAAGGTAAACGGCGTTTCCGTGCGCTGCTCTGGTTTGTCATGCTGGCCACATGACCCGGAAGCTGTACGCCGGCTCCCTTGGCCTATAAAGCGCGATGAGCGCCGCAACCCCCGAGTCAGTCATGACTGCACCTAATGGTCAGGGGTCCCTTTACCTTTATACCATAAATTTAAAGCACTATGATGCAACTTTAAAGAGCTGCGGCTCTCCTCCCACCCCCAAGAATTCTGGGAGCTGTAGTTTGTTGAGGGATGCCAAGAGTTGCTAGGATACCTTCATTCCCCTCCCGGAGCTGCAATTCCCAGAGGCTTTTAACAAGCAATCCCTCTTTGCAGGGAACAGTGTTTTGCATTAGATAATAAGGGGATGTCATAAGGTGCTTTGGGCACAGCCAACTGTGGAAAAGCAGCATATAAATAAACTCATAGTCTGGGGGCCACTCAGTGCACTGTAAACGTGGTTGTAACAAGAGAGCGATGGACTACACCCAAGATTGGACAGGTTCAACCCCTCACTAGGTGGCCTTGGACTAGTTGTTGTTGTTTCGTCGTTTAGTTGTGTACGACTCTTCGTGACGCCATGGACCAGAGCACGCCAGGCACGCCTGTCTTCCACTGCCTCCCGCAGTTTGGTCAAACTCATGCTGGGAGCTTCAAGAACACTGTCCAACCGTCTCATCCTCCGTCATACCCTTCTCCTTGTGCCCTCAATCTTTCCCAACATCAGGGTCTTTTCCAGGGAGTCTTCTCTTCTTATGAGGTGGCCAAAGTATTGGAGCCTCAGCTTCAGGATCTGTCCTTCCAGTGAGCACTCAGGGCTGATTTCCTTAAGAATGGATAGGTTTGATTTGGACTCGTTAAACATCATTCTCTCTCGGCCTAACCTACCTAACAGGGTTGTGCAAAACAGGTGGGTGTAGGTGGGAACAACCACTTACAGTGGTACCTCGGGTTACAGACGCTTCAGGTTACAGACTCCGCTAACCCAGAAATAGTATCTTGGGTTAAGAACTTTGCTTCAGGATAAGAACAGAAATCGCACGGTGGCAGCGGGAGGCCCCATTAGCTAAAGTGGTGCTTCAGGTTAAGAACAGTTTCAGGTTAAGAACGGACCTCCAGAATGAATTAAGTTCTTAACCCGAAGTACCACTGTACATTTCTCTTGTTTTTTTTCTTTTCTTTTTCCAGTTGCCAAAGAATGCTTGCTTGACTGTTGGAGGGTGAGCAGGAATGAAATGGAGTATCCTGAAAAGGGGGGAAAGCTGACTGGCTGGTATCCTGAACAGCAGCACTTCCCACTGCAGTATTCTGTTGAGTGTCCTCTCCAGTTTCTTTTTTAAAAAAGCTTGTGTGTGTGTTTTCCCACTGATCTGACTCTGATCTCTAGCCCAGCTATGGAGGAAACGCCTTCACTGACAACTTTCCCCAGGGGTTTCTTTAACTTTTATTTCTGACTGCAGTGGTACCTTCCCTTCTTTTCATTTTCCTGCATTTTGTTTTTTGTTTAAGTCAGGGGGAGCTGCCAACAGTGTGTAATGTCTTTTCTTGTCAAGCAAGGTCACCAAGACATTTTGAAAAATGGGCACGATGCCACACTTAGCCTTATGAGTCAGCTGTCACTGGGACAGACAATCCCAAGTGAGACTGTCAGCGCTGCAGTAGGACACCGAGTGCAGGAAAAGGTACAATAAACATTTCTGCCAGTGTTTGATGTTACTTCAGAAAATTGCAGTATCCAACTTGCTTCCCCTTCATTGCAAGTGTTTGCATTCACATGCTATCAGGGGTCATAGTTCAAAATACCCGGAGGGCACCGGATTGGGAAAGGGTGATAACAGAATAAGGCAAGAAAGGAGCACTCTGCGGTAGCAGGAATTAACTCACAGCCTAATGGCAGCTATTATGAGCAGCAATAACGGTCTGTACTGTAATGTGGGCTGTACATTGCATACTTCCATACAAAATGCATTGGAACATCTTGGATAGAGACCTTTTGTGTGCATGGAAATTTGAAGTAGCCATAATGATGGGTCTGATTCTGCACACGTGACTTAAACTCTTAACACGAGACTCCGTCCCAAACCCTCTTTAGCGGGCAAGAGAGGTGGGCTTTCTGCATCTCAAAGCAGCCACTAACGAATCACTGCATTAAAGCTGAAACTAACTCTCATGCTTGTATTGATTTCCGTTTCAACATCGTTTTAAGTCCACTCCCGACCCCAAATGCAATTTAATATTGTCAATTGAAAGAAACTGCTGGGCTAAATGATCCAGCAGGACTCTTCCTGCTTTTAGTTTCTTGTTTTTCCTCTTATTAATCCCTCCCCCCCAAAACAATAATCCAATCTGCTCTATGTATGTACTTAATGCTGCTGTGGCTACGTCAAGCCAATGGATTCTTGTCCAAGCAACTCAAGAACTGTTTAGTACAGCTTGTCAGACACTTGGCTCAGTCCAAAGCCCTTCCTATTCCAAATCAGATGCTTCAGGTAATTTGCCTCCATTAACTGCGAATAGAAATCAAATGCCCATTAAGGGCAGGTATTAAATACAAACTCACAAAGACAGTGCAACACAGAAAATGTGCAGAAAACTGCACCCCTTATGTTTTATGGTAGGAACCCATTATTGCTCCAACATTGATTTTGTATTTAAAACAAGGAGAAACAAAATCCGTTTTAAAATACTACATCCAGGAGTATTTTTCTGAATTGTATTGTCCGGTCTACAGGCAAAGGGTTAGAACCGATCCTGTCGGTCAAACGGACCAGACCTTCTATCAAGAGACAAAACAGGAAGTGGCAGAATTCTGTTGACAAGTAGAATCTATTTTCGCAGAATTGCATGGATTAGAACACATGGATTTTATACTAAAAAACAACCAATTACAGATAGCAAGCAGTTTGTCACACAGGGATAGGGAGCCTGTGGCCCTCCAGATCTTGGTGAACTACAACTGCCATCATACTTGATCATTGGCAATGCATGCTGGGACTGATGGGAACTCGGGAGTTTGTTCCTCAAGTTTCCTTCCCATATCCAGATTTCAGGGAGACCTCTGAAACAACAATTATAGGTCTGCTACTTTGATTTTTTCTGTTCAACTATTTTGTTCTGAATAAACCTGTTTTGGTGAAAATTTAGTCTTTTTCGGTGTTCTACTCCTCAGCTAGGGACACGGGTGGTGCTGTGGGTTAAACCACTGAGTCTAGGGCTTGCCAATCAGAAGGTCAGCGGTTCAAATCCCCGCAACAGGGTGAGCTCCCGTTGCTCGGTCCCTGCTCCTGCCAACCTAGCTGTTCGAAAGCACGTCAAAGTGCAAGTAGATAAATAGGTACCACTCTGGCGGGAAGGTAAACGGCGTTTCTGTGAGCTGCTCTGGTTCGCCAGAAGCGGCTTAGTCATGCTGGCCACATGACCTGGAAGCTGTACGCTGGCTCCCTCAGCCAATAAAGCGAGATGAGCACCGCAACCCCAGAGTCGGCCACAACTGGACCTAATGGTCAGGGGTCCCTTTACATTTACTCCTCAGCTACAATTCTTATTTTTTTAAAATTTTTGTCATCTCATTTAACATCATTTTCCAAATAACACCACATTAAGGATTTTCTATGTCGCATAAACACACACTTGAAGCTACAGAGTATCCTGCTTTCATCTGCAATCTTATGCAAAAAAATTACTTTTCATAATGCATTAATTCCATATGAACATTGCAGTACTTGGCACTTCGATACTAGTTGATAAAAGGAATCCGGTGTTTATAATTTTCATTCCTCCCCATGCATTTGTTTTCCCAAAGTGAAAAGCTAAGGATTACAGCCTTATACCAGAACATCAATCTGATTCTTGGATACAGAATGAGCTAAGGAGCTCCCCCTTGTGTGAGCAAAGCAGCCAACGGCACCCCAAACTTCAAGAAGAAATTTGAACTAGCCAACCATGGGAGTACATTAGAAGCAAGAAGTCTTTTTTGGGTCAAATTTTCATTTTCATCATTATCAAGCCTGCAGTACTAGAGATTCAGATTTCCTTTTTACTGTGAGGGGCACAAAGGGGTGAACCATGTCCACTTCCGGTAGGGACAATGATAATTCACACAACATAGCCTTTTCTGCTTGAAGATTGTAGTCAGAAGAAAAACACACAATCACAGCTTTAATTTAAAAAAAAAACACCACCACCAAATTAATCCCAGGTATTTGGGGCTTTATTTTTCACAGGCGAGTAACCAAAAGCAGAGTTGAAACCAGATTCCATGTGTTCATTAGATACTGTCTTTTTATACATAACAGTGCTCCACCCAGGTTTAATACTGGCAGCTAGCAATAGATTTACTTTGGGTGGGTAACTTTTCTGTACTCTTGGCCTCGAGTGTGTGTGTGTGTGTGTGTATATATGTATAAGCTTCTTCGCATCAGAGCTTTTTTTGCAAATGCTATAAACCGGTTGCCACTGTTTGGGCTGTGCCACAGAAGGTTAGGGCTCCCCCATCATTGACTGATAATACAGCACAGTCTCCAGCAGAACCAGGTCAACCTATCTCTTTTTTCAATAAGCACACAGTAAATGATTAATTTAAAAACAGCCACCACAAACTGGAGTGTACACAACTGGGGGAGTGAGAAAGGTGGGATGAGGGGGACATGAAGAAGGCAGAAAGCAAGTTTCAAAGCATATAAATGGGAGCAAATACATTCCTTCCAGAATTCCCAACTCAAGGGTGAGAGTGCTACAGCCCCGGTGTGGAGCTCAGTGGTTATGGGACAAAACATTTGAGTCTGACCACATCGCATATTGGGACCTGACCAAAACCTGCATTTTTCTAGTGGTCCAGGTTCCATTTCCATAGAAAGCATAGAGCACACACGTCACTCTGAACTGAGCGTGTACGTGCCACTTTGAGATAGGATAAGCAATGGCTCTACAGAAAATCCCGCATTTCACGCAATACTTGAAGACTTTTACATAGCTGATATTTAGCAATATGGAAACATTCCTATAGGATGCTTTCCTTTCTATGGGGATTAAAGACTGTCCACCTTCTGAGTTCACTCATGCAAGGTATTTTTAAATTCCTCAATGGAAAAAGTACACAGCCCAGGATTCAAAGTGTGTGTCTAAAGTACATCTGTGTGCACACAGATTATGTTGATAATGTTGGCTTCCCCTTCCAGCAGCAGTCCAGCCTCCACGGGATGCTACTTCACATGGTCCCTGCACCTTTCGGACCAGCATTTCGGGAAGGGGGGGGTGCTAAGGGTGTGTCAGGGAGTTACTGCTGGAAGAGAGAGGCTGAAAAGCCCCAGTGAACACAAGGTGCATTGTCTTCCAGCCACAGTAAAATATTAACACTGATTTTGCCAAAGATCTGCATGTGCGCTCTATCTATGCATATAATTAACTGTGCATGTGAGCACTAGTTTCAGCTGACAAACATGGCTTTTGGCAGCACTGTATTATAACCAGGGCCACATCTCTACCAGTGTGAGTGGGAATTTTATTACTGACTCCAGCAGTCATATTTCTATGTGTTGCAGGCTCTGCAAAACAGGACAGGCTCTTTGGAAGAATGGGCATTATTAACACTAAACTGAACAGTGTGAAATGTTCATTCGGAAGAGCCCTAACATTTTCTGACTTTGGTCTTGCATAAATAGAAAAACACACACATACACATTGGTCTCTCTTGAGTAACTGACTCTAAAGGGATTAAGACAGAAAACTAAGTGACCTTGAGCATCAACCAAAACAAAACCAAAAAACCAACCCATTTGGAAATTATGCAGCATGCTAAGAATACACAGATGTAAAAGTACACATATTTCAAAATATGATCAAGAAACCCAACATTTGTCAATGGGGAAAGTTCCAGACATGTATATTTTCCCCAGGCCGGTAACATTTAGCACAGTTGCAGCAAATAGGATATAGCAGCTTTTGATGCAAGAGTTTGCACATTCATGATTGAAAAGAAAAACAGAGCTTTCCATGGATTAGCAGCTGCATAGTGAGCGCATTCAAAAAGCTGATCCTTTGTGGCACATAAGAAGTCATGGATTATGGTGGTCTTTTTTCTATTTACAGTCACTTTGCTTGTACGCTGAAGTTCTTTACAATGCTTCATATCTTGCAGTGCATATCCCATGACATTATCACTGCAAGCAGCTCTTCCCAGCTGAAGCGCGAGGGAAAGGATGTGGGTTCTCACTTAACCGGTCACCTTAGCCATGTCTTTTGGAGTAAGTAGCCCCACAACTTGATTGGCACACACAAATCAAGACCAACTAAACACAGAAAGCAGAATCTATGCAAAACTGGCCTAATCCCAACAGTTTAAGATTTGGGGGTTCAATACTTCATTATTATAATTATTTCATTTCTTGGGAATGATGCAGTGAGACCAATTTTCCAATGGGTGGGGGAATTTAAAAAAAAAACACCAGGGAATAAAAACTGCTGAAGCATTCTGTAAAACTGGCCCCTGGAAGAAGTGGAGTTAGTTTGTATAAAAGTGGGGGTTTTTAATGTTACACCACAATAATACAAAGAACATTGTATCACCCATGGGTAAGCTGCTTAGGCCAGGCAGAGATTTGCAAAGCTTTAAGCATGAATTTTGGTTTATAATTTGGATCATTTTGCTGCTGTTGGGAGCTTAGGCCTTTAAAGAGAAAAGAACGGTGTAACTGAAGTGATGATAAACATACAGGAAACTGGAGATGTTAGAAAATAAACAATATATAAATATATGTATGTGTGTGTATGTGCCAATGGCTCTGGGCTTGTCTTCTTGCCAAGGGCCGGCACAGCCCTGATTGTGTAACAGAATGTCATGAACACAATGAACGTTTAGCAGGGTTACAAAATTATAAAAATGACCTGAACAAAAATCATGAACGTATTTTCTAATACTTAGCACCCTGCTGACTGAAATATGGAACTGTTGATTTCCTGAAAAAAATCTAACAGCACAGAAAAGCTTAGGTGTCAGATTGAGAACAAAGGCAGAGCATCTTTCAGTCAAAAAGGTTCTGTTGAAAACGAACAAGGATGTAAAAAGCCAACAACTGAAAAACGAACAAAAAACAACAACTGGTTGCCAGTTAACTTGGAGTTATCGTCCTCAATTAAAGAAAGGCCTTCAGAAGGCATCCACACACTACTTGAACAAAGACTATCACAGGAACCCTTCAGGAACAAGCAACTATTTTGCCTTTAAACATATTACTACGGTTTTGAGTGTCAAGTGCAGAAGATCTGAGCCAATGGATGGCAAGTGACGGCAGCGAATGATTTGCGATACATGGGTGAGCTCCATGTTAACAAGGTCCAAGGACTCTGGTTGCTGAAGATGTTGTCCCCCTGTCTCCTCCGCCTATTCTCTTGTCGACCTTCAAGCAGGGAGTTCAGAACCAGGCCCAGTTTTGCTTCTTTGCTCTCAGAGGCACACTTCTGGAACAAATCTAGAAACTGATTCTCTCTCTTTCTCCTCCTCTCTTGTCTGTCTCTCTATCTCTTGCCAATTCCATTGGTTACTTTTGTTTTCGAATGGCGATTCCTCCTCCTAGATGAATGGCTCTCGCTGTTGCTCGAGTGCTTGGGCGGACTGTCTTCCGTTCCTAACAAGCAAGTCACACACACACACACACACACACACACACACACAGGTGAGATGTGGTTATTTTAAAGAACATCTTTTCTTACCGGCACATGTAAATCTCTGGATTTATTAATGCATACTGAGTCATTTTAGTTGAAACCAGTATGCCATCTAGTGGCTTAACTCCCAAATTATGTCCCCCAAATTATATCACCTGTTAAGATCACCGTTTACCTACAATGTAATACAGCTGTCTCAACTCTTTCTTCAGTCTTGTTATTAAGCTAGCTAGCACATGGAAACACTAGGTGCTGGAGCAGGACTCAGGGGCAGAATAACTCTATAGACCAGTGTTTCACAAACTTTGGTATCCCAATTTTTTTGGACTTCAGTTCCCATTTCCCCTGCCCACTGGTCTTGCTAGCTAGGGATGGTGGGAGTTGTAGTCCAAAAACAGGTGGAGACCCCAGTTTGGGAAGCAACGATCTATAGGTTTGCAAGGCAGAAGCTGTGGGTGAGATCCTGGTCTCCATACTCTGCTTCCCAAACCCTATGAAAATCTAGTGGGTATGCATGTGAACTCTGAGGATCCTCAAGAGTGAGGGGTAGGAGATGAGAGCAGTGCACAACTGTAAGCAGATGGGACACTGCTGTTGGTGGGATGGGGAAGAGATAAAGAGAAAGGTTGAGAAGAAAGCAAGCAGAGCAAACTCTTTACTCAGCCAACCCCCAGGAACTGCAGTGAGCTTCTCTGCAGGGGCATCAAGCTATAGAAATCTAGCTGTGTGATTCCACATTTATCCACAGATGCAAAGGGAAGCACACTAACAGGACACATTCGTCATGCAGTTGACCGTGCCTACCTGGACCCCTGAATGGAGAAGTCTGGTCGCCATGAGGCCACAGTTTCTTTGGCCACTTCTCTTGGGTGAGAAGCGGCTGCATGGATGTCAGATCAGGACAGGGATGACAATCAGCTGGGACCTCTTTCTCAACACATGACAGCATTCAACCCGTGTGCTTTTTTGCTTTTTTTTTTGTCACCTTGCAGTGTGTAGCATAAGGAGGCGGCCAGTTCTGAAGGTGAGACTTTCGCCTTGGGCTGCCAAAGCAGCCGATCAAACCCCAGATTCCAAATTTAGAAGCTTTAACATTTAGAAGCTTTGGGAGGAATTCAACCGCAGAGCTAAAATTGCTCCAGCGGCAAGAGCAATTTCCCCACTCCTCCCTGCACACTGTTCTGGAGATTCTTCTAACAGCCCCAAAGCCAATTTTTTTGGGGGGGGGTGAAGGAGAGGAAGGGGAGCCCCGCTGCACCAGCAGAATTCCTTGAGCAAGCTTCTGCAAGTGAGGGTCTGTTAGTTTAATCCAACCATTTATTAAGATTAAAGAATGGCAACGGAAAACAAGGAAGAAGTAGATGGTGGCATTATCGGACAGAAAAGTGTAAAAGATAAGACAACACAATTTAACACAGATGATGCTGGAAAAATTAGGGAACAAGGAAAAGGAACACTGGAGCCAAAAGTGGAAAAGGAAAGAAACTCAACAAAAAAACTTATCCCCAACATCCAGGCAACATGTTTAATATACCTTGGATGGGGCGTCAGAACAGTATTTGGGGCACAAAGACATTTTTTTAAATGGCGGGAGGAGAGGGAGAGAAAAGGAAAAGCATTCTGTGGCCACTAAGCATGTTCAGCCCTCACTGGGCTGCTTTTGGGAGAGCTTCTCCTCTTTAGAGTTCCCTCACACCTCAAAAATATTTCTTGAACTTTTGCAAACTTTGTGGTTCCCCCAAATCTGCCCCTTTTGTGTCAGTGGTGCTACTTCAGCTGCGAGTCAGAGAACTGAGATGCCCGTTAGCATGTACGATTCAGTTTTAGACCATTTTAATTCGATCCCCTTAACAACTAAACACAAGAAAGAAACATGCTGGTAGGTTTCAAAAACCTAAATAAAATGTACCAATTATCATCATTTATTAATTTATATAACCACTTGCCAAAATGGAATATGCCACTAAAGCTGAAAAATATAAAGAAAAAAAAATGTTTTCAGCACTGTAATATTTTGTAAGAAAAATTTATTTTGTTTAGAATTTTTATAGATTTCAAGAAAGTTTTTAAAAGATGGGGGAAAGGAATTGCTAGGAAATTGTATTAAGAGATCATATTACAGAAAAATGTGTTTTCATATAACGTAGAAGAAACACGATTATATAAAAAAAATTACATAGAGCTTTAAAAAGCATGTTGAAAATCAGAAGGAAAAAATCTGTGTTAATAAAAGTTCTCTCTTTATATGTATATAGAAACAAGTGTTTCATTTACACTAAAATTTCAATTCATGACAAAGAACAACCGCTATATAAAGCGTGGGCTATTAAAATGCTTAACAGTAATTTTGTTTCATCCCCCACTCCATATTGACATAAGGATGGAGGGGCCTAGATCCAAGGAACCAGACAAATGGATCTGCATACCAAAGAGGGCTTGAACTTGGGTTTCTCAAATGGCAGCCCTACCCTGTAGCATCCCAACTCACAAAATGGGATGAGGACGTATTTCTTCAAAGAAGAAAGACAAACTTCCATTGGGCATGAACGTTGGAGAGCATCTGAAGAAGCTCCTTCGATCCCAGCCAATTTAACAATACAGCTGGGATGGGGGTCGTGTGAGCCCTCAGAGGACTACAACTTTCATTGTCCCTCACCGTGGACCACAATGGCTGGAGCCGTCCAACAAGTGGAGCGCCACAGGTACGCCATCCCTCTGATTCAGAAGAGAGAGCAAGCCTCAATGCATAAGCAGGCATTAAGAGATCAATGCAGACTCAAGGCAAGTGTGATGTTCCCTTTGTTCATCTATTCTCTTTCAAGCCACCATTTCCAGCGTGAATTATTTCTAATGTTAAACACAAGGCCATCGTTCACGATCCTTTGCCTGCGTGTCTTTGAGTTGGCTTATAAGTGCAGGCGTTAGTATAAGGGCGGACGCCCTCAGAGCATCTCTGGCGCGTGACCCCTCCCTCGCTGCCACAGTCATCAGTGGCGCCATGGTGACGAGGCCTGTCCTTGCTGTGGTGAAGCCTCCCGTCACAGCTCCTTGGCCCTTGTAGGCTGGAAAGGCCACCTACTTACCCTAGAACCAGGGAGAAGGCTACAAAAAGCACTGAGTGCCCCAGAATCTTCAGTGCCCTAGAACTAAGTGCCCTGGAATCTTGAGGCTAACGCTAGACCTACAAAGCCCAGTTGCTGCTTCACGCCACATGGGGTGCCCATTTTTCTAGGCATTGTCTTTATTGTGTACTGGCATGCTGCTGAAAGGTGGTCTATTAAACTAAATCTATCTATTTATCTATCTATCTATCTATCTATCTATCTATCTGAGGGCCATTAAAAAACCAACTTGGGAATTCAGCCAAGAAAGCTGCTGAAAAGGAAACGATTAGGGTGGGTGGGGAAGGGGACGTTTGTATGTCTGTGTGTGAGAGAGAGTGGACACCCACACCCATATATCTCCAAGGACTATTTGGCTGGGACAGAATGTACCATACAAACCACCAGTACCTCTAGTAAACTTAGAGTTAAGCCAGGAAGCATCTGGGATGTATGAGCTGTCTTCACTTTCTGACAGCGTCTGTGGAGACAAAGAGGATCATCGTGGGGTTTCCACCTTTGCAATCATCTACGCTTATTGCCTCCAAACTCTATTGAACGTGCTTTCTGAAAACTGCAGAGATGACTGGTCAAACACTATACACAGTGCATTTTTCTCGCGCCTTCTTCCTAACGTACACACCGGGCTATACAGGTCTAACAGCTAGGAGGGGAGAGTAAAGGCTTAATCATGTCCCCTGCGCTTTGTTATGTAACCCAAACCTCCTCCTTGTGCTTGGCATTCCCATCTGCCCTTCCGCCCAGGTGCAATGACAATTTTAAAAATTGCTTTTCCAGCTGTAAGACTGGAATGATAGGGATGACTACACAGTAGGGAGTTCGTTGGGTTTGACTTCTGCTTAAGCAATGCAAGTCTTCCTGCAAAGAGTGGGCTTCTTAAATTTATGCATGAACAAACGCTATGTTTTCCCCATTTACATGGTGCTCAATACCATGTCAGCAGGCATATGATAGAAGGGATCATTTCCATCCTTTTTGGTAACAGAGCACCCACCCCACATCTATGTGGCATAGGATTTATTGAGGTGCACGAAATCATGAGGCAAGAGCACCCGTTTAGTGAGGAGGGAAGGTGTTGCAAGATCAAGTTACTATTCTTTGGGAGAGTAATAAGACTGGCTAGGTCTACAATTCAGAGCTCAAGAACTCTGCTGCATCACGCCAAAAGGACCACTGAGTTCAGCATCCTGAGTCCACTGGACCAAAAGCCTTCTAAAGACTGAAGGACTCTTTCAGTCTGCAGAAGGCAAAATCCGGACCCAATCCGTTAGAAATAACCAAAATCAATGCTCTTATAATAAAATGCTTTTTTGGGGGTAATTTCTTCTCTATATCCAAGAACAGACCTTAGAATCTTGACACCTTACCCTCCCCAAGCTTCGGCAAAATAGACTTTTAACATGGCTTCCACACAAGCGTCTTTCAAAATGTGCCTTGTGCCCAGTTAAGCATTACCTTTTCTCGCTGTCCGTAGTGGTCCGCATACCAAACCATTCCATATAAACAAAGGAAAGTAGTAACGGCCTACAACATTGGGAAAAGGAATGAAAAGGAGGGAGAAGAGTCAAAACCTACCAGCTTCTACATTAATTCCTTTATTATTTCAGGGCATCACACCCCATCTTTCAACAAGTTGCCTCAGGATGACTTACAATGCATTGCTGGAGGTGAACAATGTTGATGAACACTGAGCCTCTCTTCCTAGTGTATACATAAGTACCTATTTATACTACAAACATTTTTATTTTACACCACCGCTATGAACAAGCAGGGCTATCACCCAATTTAAAAAAACAAAACAAAACGCAACTATGTATATGAATTTTAGGGTTGAATTCTTGCTTAAGAGGCTATAGCAAATATTAGGAATCTCTGGCCTGCGAGGTAAAGGAGGAACTTCTCCAGGCCTCCCTGGCTGGCCTTTGGGACTCTCCTCAAGCGACACACCTCTCCCCAGTCCTGCTTTGTACACCACCCTTCAGGGTTTTGGCCTGGCTGGAATATGTACTCTAATCTGTGAATGCTTTTTTTCTTGTCTGGATGGAGGATAGAGAGGATAGAGCTTACTGGGTAATGGTAAAATTTACACTGAATGATCTGTCCATTTTTCCTCTGGCCCCACACACCATTGACGTAGGGGGGAAAAATCCATCCCTGGCTATAGAATTTGGCAGAAACTTCACTACGCCAGCAGAGCACCAGCCGGGGATAGATTTCTTGGTGGAAGAATCCGCCACTTCAATTATTATTTTTAAGCAATTTGTCTAGGTTAAACATTGCAGCGCTGGTCACAAAGTTGTGTTAATGGGTAGATTCCGGCTTACATTTAGCCAATGACCAAAGAGACATGGCAACTAACATGGTTGCCGTATCAAAGAGGAAGACTTAAGGAGCAAAATAAAGAGCCACTTACCACACAAAGGAGCCAAAACACAACATATAATATCTGTGTTTTGGAGAAGAGGTCTTGACCAAATTTGATGCACACAATAGCTTCCAGGAAACCAATAACTCTGAGGGAATGACAAAAGAAATACAGGCTGTTTTTAATTTAAGAGCATGCTTTGATATCTTCAGTGGGGGGCGGGGGTGTTTGCATGATTTTGTGAGCTAGTTTATAAATTGCTCTCATGCTATGGGGGGCTAAATAAGCTTTGAGGGCCATCCATAAAAGAGCTCACTTTTGAAAGCCTTTAAAATCCTCTACCTTGGGTCAGGCTCCATCCCCCTTTAACAAAAACTCCTTCCATTTTTTTTGTTACAACTTTGCTCCCCTTAATAAACAACCCCTTAGAGCATTTTTATATCTTTGTCAGAACTGCTTTGTAATGCAAATGTAAAAAATATACATGGGCTAGAATGGTAATTTGCATTACATGTGCCTCCATTTCTGTATTATCAGCAGGCGGGTGGCAACATAAATAGTATGTTGTGGATGTGTGAACATGCCATGAGAGAAGAGACTAGCTTCTGTCAAGTCAATAAAAGTGGTATCTGGTGGCATCACAGTTCAGTGGTAGAGCACATGCTATGCATGCAGGGAGTCCTAGGTTTAATTCCTAGTATGCCCCATTATATGGGACGTGGGTGGCACTGTGGTCTAAACCACAGAGTCTAGGGCTTGCTGATCAGAAGGTCAGTGGTTCGAATCCCCACGACGGGGTGAGCTCCCATTGCTTGGTCCCTGCTCCTGCCAACCTAGCAGTTCGAAAGCATGTCGAAGTGCAAGTAGATAAATAGGTACCGCTCCGGGGGGAAGGTAAACAGCGTTTCCATGCACTGCTCTGGTTCGCCAGAAGTGGCTTAGTCATGCTGGCCACATGACCCGGAAGCTGTCTGCGGACAAATGCCGGGTCCCTCGGCCTATAGAGCGAGATGAGCGCCGCAACCCCAGAGTCGTCTGTGACTGGACCTAATGGTCAAGGGTCCCTTTACCTTTACCTTTTATCCCCCATTATAATAGGGATGGAGAACCTGTGGCTCCAGTTAGCGCTGCCACTGGTCTGGGGGATGGAAGAACTCCAGGTATAGGGCAGTGTGATGGGATGATGAGCTGCTTGTGCGTAAAATCGTATCCCCTCAGAGTTTGTTCAAGTCCACAAACCTCTGTCTGTGACGGAGCCCCTCAGACATGGCTACTCTAGTCACTAGCAGATTCCGACAGTGGTTGCTTTCGTAATCGCTTCCAACATAAAAGCTCCTTAACGGAAACACGTCTTCTGGAATCTCTGCGTGACAGTTTCCGGCGAGGAGTGGGTGTTCTTACAGGAGGTCCTGAAACTTCCCCACTGTTTTCGCTGGAAGTGTCTCTGAGCCATCCCTCCAGCTCAGCTCCTCTCCCCTGCTGGTTCCCTCTTCAGCTGCTGCGTCTCTCCCAACCTGTGTGAGCCCTTTCACCTCCCTGTTGGTTCCCTCTTCAGCTGCTGCGTCTCTCCCAACCTGTGTGAGCCCTTTCACCTCCCTTCCGTCCGATGGCAGTTCCCTGACATCCACCTCCCCTCCAGGGCCCCCTTCACCCCCTCTCGCCCCCTCCTCTACGGGCGGTGAGGAGGCAAAACCCGGAATGAACTTCCTTCATCTTCCGATGTCTCGAACACTTCTCTCAACCTGTTGCGGTTCCTGGTCTCGAAGTACACCTCCTCCTCAGAGTCCATCTCCCCTTCCCCTTCCGAGTCCGGGAATCCTTCCAACTCCTCCCCTTCATCAGTGGTCCCAAAGTATTCCCTCCGGAACCTCTCCACAGGCTGAGGTTTCCTTGGGAACCTTTGATGGAACGTTTCTATCAATACCTCGTCATTGATATCTTCAGCCATTACCCAAGTGTTTTCTGACTCCGGTTCTCCTTCCCACGCTACCAAATACTCCACCTGATCCCCCTTCCACCTGGCGTCGAGGATTTCTGCCACATGGCTGCTGCATTCTCTTTCTTCTACGACCGGTCCCCGAGGGGCCAGCCCTTCTCGTCCCCCTTCGTACGGTGACAGTAACGACCTGTGAAATACTGGGTGCAGTTTCATGTGGTTGGGTAACCGGAGCCTGAAAGCCACTGGGTTGACCTGTTGAATGACCTCAAAGGGACCCAACCTCCTGGGTCTTAATTTCTTACAACCTCCTTTGAGCGGCAGCCCTTGGGTTGACAGCCACACCCTATCTCCCACCCTTATGGTTTCACCTTCCCTTCGGTTCTTGTCTGCCTGCCTCTTGTATTCTTCCTTCGCCCTTTCTAAGTTGAGTTGGAGCTGACGATGGATTGCTTCCATTTCTTCCACAAAATGCTCGGCTGCCGGGACGCTCCATCTCTCCCCCTCCCCCTGGGAAAGCCCTGGGATGACACCCATAATTAGCCAAGAAGGGGCTCATCCCTGTGGACACATTCTCGGCATTGTTGTAGGCCAATTCCGCCAGCGCCAACTTTTCTACCCAGTCATTCTCTCTGTCATTGACATAACACCTCAGGTATTGCTGGAGGACACCGTTTGCTCTTTCCGCCTGCCCGTTGGTTTCAGGGTGCCGGGCAGTCGAAGAATTGACCTCCACCTGCAGTAAGCTCATGAGCTTCCTCCAGAACCTGGAAGTAAATTGTTTTCCTCGGTCTGAGACCACCCTCAATGGCACCCCGTGCAACCTAAAAATGTTTTCTACAAATAACTTCGCTGTCTCTTCCGCCGTGACTGCATGCGAGCAAGCTACAAAGTGGCACATCTTTGTTAGTAGGTCTACCACCACCATGATGGCTGTTTTCCCTTTGGACTTCGGCAGATCAGTCATAAAATCTATCGACACTGCCTCCCAAGGTCGTTCTGGGGTTGGTAAGGGTTCTAATAGCCCCGCCGGCGCCCGCCTTTCCCCTTTGGCTCGCTGGCATTGCTCGCACCCTCTTACATACTCACGTACATCTTCCCTCACCTTAGGCCACCAAAATTCCCTGGTGACCAACCACATGGTTTTGTGTTGTCCAAAATGCCCGCCGTAGGGCTGTCGTGCAACTGCTTGAGTACCCTCCCCTTAACTCTCCTTCAGGGATATACAGTGCCCCTTTGTAATACAAAGCTCCATTTCTTTCCTCAAAACCCCTGGTTCCTCTCCATCACCCCTAAGACCTCTGAGCTTATTCTGGGCGTATTCATCATTCTCTGTTTCCTCTACCAGTTCTCTTTGTCCCACCAATGCCGCCCCACACACCCAGCGGTCTTCTGGAATGACATGTCTCTCTTCGGGTGCCCCTCCCCTCCAAATATTCAGGTTTGCGTGAGAGAGCGTCCGCCCTAATGTTCTCTGGGCCTGGCACGTAACTAATCTCAAAGTTAAATTTGGAGAACTCCTGGGCCCATCTCACTTGCCGTTGGTTGAGCACTCGTGCCGTCCTCCAATACTCTAGGTTCTTGTGGTCAGTGCACACTTGCACCTTATGTTGTGCGCCAATTAGCAGGTGCCTCCATCTCCGGAACGCCTCATGAATGGCTAGTAGTTCTCGGTCATACACCGTGTAGTTCCTCTCGGATTTGTTCAGCTTTCGCGAAAAAAGGCACACGGTCTCCACTCTGACCCCTTCTTGCCTGGCTGCAGAAGCACCGCCCCAATCGCTCTGTCTGATGCGTCAGTTTCCACTCTCATCGGTTTTTGTAAATCCACATGCAGGAGTTGTTGTTCCGAGGCGAAGGCCCTTTTTAGTTCCTCAAATGCTCGCTCCGCCTCCTCAGTCCACACGAACTTCTTCTTACTGCTGAGACAGTCCGTAATGGGCGCCGTCAGGTGGGCAAAGTTTCGGATGAACTTACGATAGAAGTTCCCAAATCCTAGGAACCTCTGCACATCCTTCTTTGTTTTGGGTGTTTTCCATTCCAGCACCGCCTGGACCTTGCCGGGATCCATGGCCAATCCTTTGTCTGACAGGCGATACCCCAGGAATTCCACCTCCTTGGTATGAAACTGACACTTCTCCAGTTTCACCCACAGCTGGTTGGCTTGCAGCCTGCTCAACACTTCTCTGACGTCTCTCACATGCTGCTCCTCATTCTCAGAATACACCAACACGTCGTCTAAAAAGGCCACACAATTCTTGTAAAGCAAAGGCCCCAGGACGTGGTTCATAAACGATTGAAATGTTGCGGAGCCTGCTTGTAGGCCGAAGGGCATAACCAAATATTCAAATGCCCCTAAAGGGGTGAACATAGTGGTTTTCCATTCATCCCCCTTCCTTATTCGTACCAGGTTGTACGCCCCCCTTAGGTCCAGCTTTGTGAAAATCTTTCCCTTCCGCACCCTTGTCAAAATGTCGTCAATCCTGGGCATAGGGAAGGCTACTGGTTCTGACACTGCATTTAAGGCCCTGAAGTCACACACCAGCCTCGGCTTGTTCGTGTTTTTCTTATCCACAAAAACACTGGGCTGCCCCCCCACCGCCCTGGACTCTCTGATGAACCCTCTCTTCAGGTTCTTGTCAATGAACTCTCTTAACTCCTGCATCTCTCTGTCTGACATGGCGTACAGCTTGCCTACAGGGAGCTGTGCTCCAGGGAGTAAGTTGATTTGACAGTCAAAGGGTCTATGCGGGGGTAGTTGGTCAGCTTCCCTTTCGCTGAAGACGTCACGGAGATCTGCATATTGTCGTGGTACCTTCACGTTCTCTGTTACTTCAGTCCCTGCTAGGGTGGCTTGGACCCCTGCCAAACCCTTTCCCTCTTTGCAGTGTTCTAAGCAATGTGCTGAACCAAAAGAAACCACTCTCTGATGCCAGCCCACCAGCGGATCATGTAACGCTAGCCAGCTCATCCCCAATATAATGGGAGCTCCTCCCAAGGTGGCCACATTAAAAGCTATCAGTTCGGTGTGCCTTGCTACCTTCATTATCATTGGGACGGTCTGCAAGCTGACTTCTCCACCCAACAGCTCCCTGCCATCGATAGTGGTCACCTGCAGGGGGCTGCTTAAAGGATTGTCTGTATCTGGTGTTCAGCTGCAAACTCTTTGCTCATGAAATTGCAGGAGCTGCCTGAGTCCAACAGCGCCTTTATCTTTAGAGGGTGTCCGTTTGGCAGCTCTAGCGTCACTTCTATCACTAGGGCGGGTTTAGGAGGTTCTGGCGTGGGCACTCTCACTGCTCTTTGGCCTGGCTGCTGTGCCCTGACAGTGGCAGCCAGGCGTTGGCTTTACTTGCTCCGGTATATTTTCCTCTCTTCCATCCACAGCTCCTACCATCCCTTGCCATTCTTTCCTCTGGGGGCAGACTCTGGCAAAGTGACCTGGCTGTTGGCAGAGATAGCATTTCCGGGCGCCTTTTCCCTCCTTCTTTGCCCCCTCACTGGGCTTTGAAACTGCGCGCGCGCCGCTGTTCCGATTTCCATCGGCTCTGCCGGTGGGAAAGTTGGCTCTGGAATGTCTGGAATGCGGAACTCCTTCCAACGTTCCCCTTTCCCTTCCCGCCTCTCCAATGCTCTCGCCTCCTGGCGCGCTCCTATGGCCAGCGCTGATTTGGTCAGCTGGTCCATAGACTCCGCCCTGGGCGCCCGGGAAAGTTCGTCTTTCACAGCCGAAGAAAGCCCTTCTTCAAAGAGCATCTGAATGGGTTCCGCCGATAAGTCCCACCCCAATCTGTGAACAAGCATGGTGAACTCAGTCCAGTACTCACGGACAGATCGGCTCCCCTGTTTGCAACCCATTAACTGTCTGCGCACCACTCCCTTTTCAATATCGCTGGAAAACATCAGATCCATGGCGCGAAAGAACTTCATCGTGTCCTTTAAGACGTCACTATTAGCTGCCATCAGGGGTCTAACCCAGTCTCTCGCCCCCTTTTCAAGATGCTCAATCACGAAAGCCACTCGTGATTCCTCGTCAGGAATTCATCAAACTGCAGATTGAGGGCATATTGCATTTCTGTCCGAAAACCATGATAGTTTTGGGCTCCCCCCCAAACTTCTGCACCAATCCTGGTACCTTTCTGGCAAACTGGGTGGCTTTCCCCCTTTTGTCTGCATCCTGAGCCCTCCTCTCCTCCAAGCCTCGCCGTCTGCATCGCTAGCTGGACCTCCAACATCTGGTACCTTTCTTCCAGGCTTGGACCCGCTCCAGCTCCTGCTTCTCCGGTTCCGGCTGGGTTGCTCATGATGCCTTCTCCTGCACAAGCTGCTTTCAAAGACTGTCGGAATGCTGTGATGGGATGATGAGCTGCTTGTGCGTAAAATCGTATCCCCTCAGAGTTTGTTCAAGTCCACAAACCTCTGTCTGTGATGGAGCCCCTCAGACATGGCTACTCTAGTCACTAGCAGATTCCGACAGTGGTTGCTTTCGTAATCGCTTCCAACATAAAAGCTCCTTAACGGAAACACGTCTTCTGGAATCTCTGCGTGACAGTTTCCGGCGGGAGTGGGTGTTCTTACAGGAGGTCCTGAAACTTCCCCACTGTTTTCGCTGGAAGTGTCTCTGAGCCATCCCTCCAGCTCAGCTCCTCTCCCCCTGCTGGTTCCCTCTTCAGCTGCTGCGTCTCTCCCAACCTGTGTGAGCCCTTTCACCTCCCTGTTGGTTCCCTCTTCAGCTGCTGCGTCTCTCCCAACCTGTGTGAGCCCTTTCACCTTCCTTCCGTCCGATGGCAGTTCCCTGACAGGCAGTATATAAATTCAATAAATAAACAAATAAACACTTCAACAACTTTTGGAGGACCACAGATTCCCTACCCCTGTTTTAATTTTTTAAAAGAATGAACAGGTTTCTAATTCTCATGTTTATGATGATTTCAAAAGCCAGAGGGGTATCTGAATAAAGTCTCTAGCGATGGAGGTCTTGTACAGATCCTTGCTTCTACCTGTGATGATCTAGTACAAGTCGCAGAATAAAATTATGCAAAACAGGAGAAATTAGCATGATTATATGGGTTTCAAAATCCAGGTTTTCTTAATGAAGAATTTAAATTATGGAATTTCATTTCTTTCTCTCTCTCTCTCTCTTTCTTTTTTAAGCATACTGCGTGCTTAAAAAACAAAACCCCAGTGAGATACCAGTAAGTTGTCTGTTACATTAACTGTCTCTGATTATATTTATTTGTGTCTTGAGCCAAGAGACAATCTGAACTGATGCAGGATTAAAATCCAACTCCCTGCCCCTGTTTCGTAGAGCACCAGGCAGTCAAAGAGCTATGGCCAAGAGTAAAAATGGGAACTCTAGTCCCATTTACTTCTACTAAGCATTGCACAAGTATTTACGGGTGCATCTTACTTGTGCATCTTTATGTTTTCGGAAATTCAACAGCCATTATTTAGAAATAAGACAGACCTCTTAATTCAGACCTTTCTTACATTCTCTTTCCTCTTGTCTGGTCTTTTTTAAAAAAAACTTTTGACATTGCTTTCATTCCCTCCCCTCCCTTTGTTGTCTTCCTCATACCAATGCCAAAATTTAGACCTTTGGGGTAGGGATCTGTTCCATTCCCACCGACCTTCTGTTAACATATCAAGGGGCACATACAGTGAAGGTGTTAAAGTAATAAAGAAACGGGTGGAAGACTTGCCCCCAAATCCAGGTGCCAAGTTATTTCTTCCACTTCTTCTCTAAAAGTTATGGCTGTAATCCTTATAGACTACCTGAAGGTCCCACTGAATTCAACAGAACTCTGAGAATACAACTACAGCAATATACTATCAGGCTCCATTCAAAGCATTCTAAAATGACAACAAAGCAAACCTTAGTCTAGATATACTACAGTCTATCTTTCAACTTAGAAATGAGTGAGCTGGCCCAAACTAAGCACAGAATACTGCCAAGTAAAAGCAAGTTATGTAGCACAGGTGGTTCTCAGCCCTTAGCTCAGAATTTGTCTAAGGCACCTGCAGCAGAATGGATGTTTCCCGCATTTGACTTAGTCGCACCTTGCTTCAGTCCCCTGCGCATTAGCTGTATGCAGTCTGGATTACTGTAACACACTCTACAGTCATACCTCGGGTTTTAGACGCTTCAGGTTGCGTTTTTTCAGGTTATGGACCCACCGAAACCCCAAAGTACTGGAATGGGTTACTTCCGGGTTTTGGGGGTCGCGCATGCGCAGAAGCACTGAATCGCAACCCACGCGCGTGCAGATGCGCCGCTGTGGGTTGTGAACGCTGCGGTTGCAAACGTGCATCCTGCACAGATCACATTCGCAACACAAGCGTCCACTGTATGTGGGGTTTCTGCTTTACCCGGTCTGGAAGTTTCAAACGGTGCAACATGCAGCAGCAAAAACAATTCGAGGGGCTGGACGCTTCAATTTCACCTATGTTGCTCTAGTAACTTTGGCTGCCTATGTATTTCCAGGTCCAATGTAAGGGGCTGGTAATAGCTCTTAATACCCCAGAGTCTGGGGCCAATAAAGACTTTTCTGTTCCGGTCAGCGTTTGGATGATTTTTTATTTTGGTGCTGTGTTTTAATAACTGTTTTATCTGCTGCTCTGATTTTGGCTGTGTTTCTTTCATGTGATTTTAGTAATATGGTTTTCGTTATTATGTTGGACTGCGTTGGAAAGGTAATGACCCTAAAAAGGTGGTTTAAATAGCTATTTAAGTAAAATAAATAAATAAACAGAAGAGAATTTGATGTCTCCACTCTGAGAGCCCACTAAACTTTGTAGAAGGCAACCCCTGCCTCCTCTTTTCTGTTTAATTTTAATGCCAGTGGTGTTGTTCAACAAATAGTACTTAGGAAAGCAGGCTTCATCATCTTCTTTGCCAAAAGTGGAGCAAAATTACGAATGAGACTTGGAGGATGGATCTGGCATGAAGTAAGTGATGACATGGGAATGTTCCTAGGCATGGCCAAGTCAACTGATTAAATTAGCCCGTTTAAATTTGCCAAGGGCACAAAGCAGCAGTTTAGAAGTCCCTCAGGGCCTATTAGCTCAGCGTGACCTTCTTAACAAGGGCAGACTATGCTGATCTGAACGCTGCTATTTTTGTAACCTCATGAGCTGAAAACCTTCCTTTGAAAGGCTTGGATGTTCTACACCAATTTGTTTCCTTTTCTCTTATGTTGTGTGCAGGAGAGAAAACAATCGGTTCCAGAGGATCACAGAAAGCTGGAAATAGCCTGGAGGTTGTCTAGTTCATACCAAACCAGATTTCTTCACACACCAATATGCTCCGCCTCATCCCCCCCCCCCCCCGAATTCATGTTACAGAGTGCCACAAACAGAACCAACCGAGTCTGTGTGCACACTGTCCATTTAAGGCACATTTAAAGCACAGGACTTCCTCCATAGAATTCTGGGAACTGTAGTTTCTTAAGGGTGCTGGGAATGCTCAGCTCTGTTAGGGCTTTGGGAATTTTAATATCTATAGAGCTTTGAGAGAGACTGCCTCCCCCCCAGAGTTACGTTATGTTTTTATATTAAATAAGGTAAAGGTAAAGGGACCCCTGACCATTAGGTCCACTCGTGACCGACTCTGGGGTTGCGGCGCTTATCTCGCTTTATTGGCCGTGGGAGCCGGCGTACAGCTTCCGGGTCATGTGGCCAGCATGACTAAGCAGCTTCTGGCGAACCAGAGCAGCGCACGGAAACGCCGTTTACCTTCCCGCTGGAGCGGTACCTATTTGTCTACTTGCACTTTGACGTGCTTTTGAACTGCTAGGTGGGCAGGAGCAGGGACCGAGCAATGGGAGCTCACCCCGTCGCGGGGATTCGAACCGCTGACCTTCTGATCGGCAAGTCCTAGGCTCTGTGGTTTAACCCACAGCGCCACCAGCGTCCCATTATTGAAATATTACTAAAATGCTAGCATGAATGGCCAGGGTTCCTGGTCCCCGGGACAGCCTCTACATGTTTAGCAGCCTTCCTCTCTGCATTCGTGTCCCCCAAAATGTGGCTGATGTGCTGGCAGAGCTGCCAAGGGATGCAGCTGTGGGGCAGCAACTTGGATGAAGTCAAGCAGGCTTGGTCGGTGCCAGGATAGGAATCTACCTTGCATCCCTATATCTGCCACCCTGAGTTACACAGAGAGCAAATAAGAACAACAAATAAATACCCCCCACGGAGCGTGTAATTAAAAGCTTTCGGGATGCATAGTTGTTCTTTTCATTGAGTCAACACTACAACAGTCTCAATGTTTTCAACTGCAACAAAAACTTACCCAAACACCCAGCACTGAGTTCCTACCCTTTTGCACTGTGTGTCTGTGAGATAAGCATAGTATTGCCTGGAAGTAAAAACAGAGGAGAAAATTTCAATGGAACAGATAGTTGCACATGTAGGTTATAGTTATCAAAAACAACAGGGCGGGGGCTGATATTCAATTTTTGGAGAAAGCAGCTCAATTACTTGGAACACGGTAAAGGCTCAGCCATATTCGAGAACTACCTCAAAATTCTCTACTGCTATCTTGGAGATCAAGTAAATGTGACAATTGTAAACCAATGACTGAAACTTGGTCAGCTATAAAGAGGGATATACAACTGAGGATGAGAAAGGGGGCAGAAAAGTCAGCTAGCATGTCAGTGGAATGTCTGTTTGCCTGAATGAAGCCACACAAAGGAGCACAAAGCAGCCACAGCCCTAAGCTTAGATTGACATGTCTGCATTTTCTGCCAACTGTCTCTATTTTAATATTGTAAGTTGTTTCTCCTACTTTTTTCCTTTTGAAATTGAGCTCCTGTGAGATTTGACTGAGGAAAGAAGGAATCAGAGTTTAGAAATTAAGAAGCGATTCAGGACAGAAATCTTTTGAACAATGGGAACTAAGACTTGTAATCCTTTGCACCCTTACCCAGAGTAAGCCCCACTGAATAAAAATGTGTTTTACTTCCAACAAAAAACTGCACTGCATGGAAATCTGTTGAATGGGAAACAGAATTGTGTTAAAAGCTTTTCAGGCTGGTAGCCAGGGGGGCGAGGAATTATTGAACATCTGGAATATACATTTGCCTAACACACTTGCTGTCATCTCACCTGCTGTTTTACAGGTGATTTTACATTCCCTGACATGCTTGTTGTTATTTAATTGTATTAGTGTCTAAGTGAGCAATTGGGTGGAATGCCCTATGGTCCTTTTTGGACATACCAAGCCAGGTTTCCCCAACCTGATGCTCTCTAGGGATTTTGGACTACAAGTGCCACCACTTCTGACCACTGCCCATTCTGACAGACTGATGGAACTCGTAGTCCAATCCCCGAGAGAGCACCCGGTTGAGGAAGGTTGCCCTAAAGCTTAGGAGCAGTGAGCCTGGGGCTTGTGTGCTCTCCGCTTCTCCTTTGGCAAAGCTGTGAGAAGGAGATCAAAAGCGCTGCTTCTTGTTTCCAGACTCTGGTTAGTTTGAACTATGGCCTTTTTCAAACAAGTCAAGATCAAGTTTGTGATTCAAGGACCCGCCACCCGCTTGGGGATAAAAAAGACAGATGGACACAGTATATTAGGTTAATGGGCTAAAAAAGGCCACAACTTTATTGATTACAGCATGTGAGAGGTATTGGCTTAGGCATTGGATAAAACAACAGAGCGTGACTCCACCCCCTCGGGGAGGGGTGAGTCTAACAAGGGTTAACCACCAATGGGAGGAGCCTCTTGATGCAAATACAACTGAAAGCTCCCCCTGATGTCACCAGGGGTCGTGCCATGGCCCTAGCCACCAGCAAGGGCGTCGGACAGGATCCACGACTGCCAGATTCCTTTACCGGAATACCCATAAAGTGGAGGGGTAGGCGATGGCCACACCCTACCCTCCAATACACAAACATATTCCAATGCCTAACCGCCAATACCTAAAAGTTGTGATGATTTGCTATGAGGTAGGCGAAAAACCAAGTGGCCAATGCCAATTTGCCAGTTGGATAAAAATTCCTACCAGGCCCCTTGGCCAACCAAGGCGACCAACCATAGGTCCATAGCAAGGTCAAGAACCAAGCAGTGAACTAAAGGGAGGGTGGGTGGGTGATCCGACAAAAACCAGCAGCGGAATGAAGGGGAAGTGCTGCTGTGGCCACGTTTGAGTGGCAAAACCCCGCCCCCAAGCCTCCACCTGGTTGGTTGGCTACCTGGGGGCGTGGAGCGGCAGCCAGGCCAGCTGGGCAGGGGGCTGCAATGCCCCCTGCCAACGTGGGAAACGGCTCCTGCTCACAACTCCTCCCCTCTGTAAGGAGGAGAGGCTTTTTCAAACAAGTCAAGATCAAACAGTGGCTTGTTTTAAGCTAAGCAGAGTTCCCTGGTTTGGACATAATGGAACACCCTGGTTAGTTTAAAAGCAGAGGCAGATGTTTCCAATCTCTCTCTCATTCGGGAGGGAAGACATGGACACGAGGCTTGTTGCTGCTCATGTGTGTAACACCAAATTATGGTTTAGCTTTACGTCCAAACCAGTTTTTTTTAATCTCCAAAAGTAAGTGGGCTGGAGCAAAGGCAAGGAACCTGTGACCACCCAGATGTTGTTGGATTCCAACTCCGACCAACCACAGCTGGCTTGGTGAGCAACATCTGTAGGGCCTCACTGGCTCCCCATCTCTGAGCTAGGCTTTTCGAGGTCCCCAGCTGCTGCCCAGCAATTTTACAGTGAGGAAGATTAAACGAACAAAATGTACCTCACAGTGGGCGCTGTGATAATTCCAATGAAGAGGATCCTACCCCAGCTTAAGGGGTGACTTGCATGGAAAACAAAGATATGTTTCAAGAAAAATGTGTTCAGCTCGGTCAACTAAAAGAAGAAGAAACAGAAAGAAGAAAATAAGCTGGAAACATTTGATATCCTAGACAAATAAGACAGATGCAACTTCTTAGCAACTGCTTACGTTCTGCTCCAGGACAATAAACATATGGCACTCCTGGTGGCCTGTGGAGAATTGTTGTCCCCATAAGGAACAGTAAATTATGAACTCCACAAAAAGAATTAAATTCTTTGGGAAAGTAATCAATACATTTAAATGCCTGTGTTGGGGAGCTAGATAAACGTACTGCTTCATTTTTCTCTCTGTGTGTACAACTATGGAGTCAATTTACTTTTCTTTGCAAAAGTAACCTTTTATTGCATCCGGCCTACCTTTATATAGCATGAGAAAGCAGATTTTGTGGTACCAATAAAAAGTATCACACTTGTCAATGATTAAAGTGATTTGTCTTATCTTTACCACCATGAGGACTACATCTGGATTTTCTGTGTCAGGTACCAGGCAGTTTTGTCATATCACATAATTTTATTACAACTTTTTTTATGCTACACTCCCTCAAGGAAGCTAAGGGCAGCACAAACAGTTCTTTCCACCTATGTTATCTCCATAACAGTTCTGTGGAATGGATTGGGCTGGGAGACAGTGACAGATCCAGAGTCACCCAGTGAGCTTCATGGCTGAGCGGGGGTTTGTAACCTGGTTCTCTCCAGTCTTGGTCTTACACTCTTAACACAGGTATGGGGAACTTGTGACCCTCCAAATATTGTTAGATTCCAAGTTCCATAAGCTTAAGCCAGCATGCCAACAGCTAAAATTCGGCCAGTTAAAAAAATATATTTCTGGCTTCGTTCAGTGCCTTTTTATAAACATGGGGTGTTTTTGTTTTGTTTTTTAGCTTTTACTGTTTAGGTTTCACGCTGGTTTTACTTTATGTGCTACTTTTTTTGTAAGCCGCTTTGAGTTACTGTTCATAAGTAAGCAATTAATAAGTGCAATTAATGATAATAATGAATAGTGGTGAAATAAAAATTCTAATACCTATTTTCATATGGATTTCTTTTTAAAAAACAACAACAATGCATTGCTGCAGAAAGGAGAAGGGATGGATTTGTGAATGAACACATGTGAAACTAACGCAAAAAGGAAACAGCCTGATCCAGTCAACCCTAGCTGAGATTTCCTGGGCTTTCTTTTCAATAGGTTTGCTGTTGTTGTTTTTACCTGCCAGATAATCATGAAAAGGTATACTCCGGCCACTCTTTGAAATGAAGACTTGGGATCAAACCAGCGAACGTAGGTCCAGCTTGCTGGAGTGAACTGTAACACAGCTCTCTTGATTTTACCTGTGGTGGTGTGAATGTCCCTGAAAGCAGATAAGGACAACAGTTAAAAAAAAAAAGAAGGAAATCAACATTGCATTGCTATGTAACAAATGATGTAAAATAACACAGCTCTATCATACTGGGGTTTGTAACAAGAAAGGTGCATTTAAGAAGCAGACCTATTGTAATTAAGCAAACAAACGTTTGCGATCAGAAGAAACCTGCCTCAAAGCAAACTTTTCCACATGCGTGATTTGCTCCTCAAACGCAACAAAGCTGAAAATTGGGGGTTATAGCCAATGTTAGTCATAGAGTAGACCCATTTAAATTAATGGACATGGATAACTTAAGAGTCTGCTTGGAGAATAACTTAGTTGGAAACATCCCTTAATTTCCAGTGCTATCAAAACACCAAGCTTTCAAAAAAGCAAAAAACCCACTTTTTTGAGGAAAAGTGTTTGAAAGATCTGAGAGTCAAGGCCTCCCTATTTAATGTTAATAATTTAATTATCATGCTTCTAATTAAGGGCAATTAAGGGCAAATTAGCATAAAACTACAAATTTTACTAACCAGAACCAGCCAAACAATTTTATTTTATTTTGGTATTTACAGTGCTCCTGAAGGTTGGGAGACCATCTGGGGCAGCAGCCCATGAGATGAAAGAAAGCGTAAGGCTCTCAGAAGCATCAGATTAAGAAGCTTAGAAACACCCCTCACAGCTTCCTGAGTTGCCCCATGTCCCATGATGTTCAGAGTAAATCTCTCCCTCACAGCTAAAGCTGAACACAAATCAAATTAACAAGAAAAAAAAGAATCATAATGTTGTACTCATTTCAAAATAATAACCTGGAAGTAACACAGACAGTGACTTCCAATGTTCTGGTAAAAGCAAAACATCATCAAATTAATTTAGATTCTTGTGTAATCTACTGTTAGCTGGATAAATGAATCCATGAGTGTGTATCAGGGATAAGGAACCTGTGGCCCTCTGTCTATTGTAGGACTCCGGTTTCCATCAGACACAGCCAGCTAAGTCCAACAATATCTGGGTCACAGATAGAGAGGTGCAACTGAAAAAACAGTCCTACTTTTCTTTCACTTTATGCTTTTATTTAACATTTTGGTCATTACTGGCCATGGTGTGTGGCAAACAGTAAGAGGTGCAGCTAATGGGGAACAGGAAACTTAACTGTGCATGAATAGAGGTACTTTCCTTTCATTCATAGGGTTCTTTGAATGCTGGCTTCTAGCAACAAACCCAGTGGATTTAATTACCATATTGGCCCGAATATACGCCACACCTTTTTTTCCAAATTCCGACTCTGAAAAGTTAAAGTACGGTTAATATTCAGAGCCGAGCGCCAGCACCGGTAGTGCCAGGAGGCAGGCTGCACCTGCAAATAAGCCTTGAATTTCAAAGGTGCAGCTTATAGTCAGGCCAATAAGGTACTGTCAGCAATGATAGTGGGTTTTATTTCCTTTATCTTCAGCAAAAACAGCAGCGCTAAGTATGTAAGGCATGCAGAAAGGTCAGCTTAGATTAAAGGTCCGAATCACATGGCTAAGTGCAAAGCTACAACATTCCTAATCCCCACTCCTAAGGAGTACAGAATCAAAGTTTAGAATGGAGGCTCTTTTCTCAGAGGTCTACAGAAAGAAAATCGTTTTAGGAATATGCTCTTGGCAAAAGTTTCATGAGGAAAACAAGCGGGTGAAATAGGAGGCCTTTAAAATACAGTTTTCATCTACTGCATTATAAAAAGGAGTGTCAGGAAATGGTGTACCATTCAGAAGTTTGGCCCTCACACTCCAATTCTGAAATATTAACTATATATTATTAAAAACCATGGGTGAGGTTTACTTGGATTTTATCAATATAGTAAGACAATAGAAGTAAGGTGTAGGTTGCATATTTATATGGGTGTCGCTTTGGAGAGTTGAACCATATATTTTGGTTACACGAGTAACAATGCAATCCTACAAATGCTTACTCGGAAGTAACGTCCACTGTGTTCAGTAAGGCTTATTTCCAGGTAAATGTACACAGGATTGCACCATGAGAGGTAAAATCAGAGGCTGATGGAAATCAAATGTGAGTGAAAGGGACCATGAACAATTACAGACTCTCCACTTGCTTATTAATGGAAATAACATTGTAACACATTCATAATGTCATGATCCACCAACGTTGCCAAGGAAATGGATTTAAAAATAAATTGCAGCACCGATACCAATTTAGGAACCCAAGACAGTGAACATAGAACATGAAAGCAGCCTTGCTGGATGAGACCAAAGGCCCATCTAGTCCAGCATCCTGTTTTCACAGTGGTCAACCAGAGGCCTATGCGATGCAACAGCACTCTCCACACACATGTTCCCCAGCAAGTGCTATGCAGACGCATGCTGCCTCTAATACACTGGGGCTGGATCCAGACACATCAAAGAAGCATTCCAGTTAAACGCATTGTAAACTTTGTATGAGGAATCGGGTTGGCAAAAACGGAACTCCACAGCGCCACCTGGTGTCACAGTGTTATAATGCATGTACAACGCATATGCCAATGTAGCTGAGTACTGGGTCTGTAGCACCACATGCCTTGTGATTTCCCGGGTACAAAATTTAATCTAACATGAGGTTTTAGATTTGGGCTAGCCCTGTATTACAAATTGTCGCAATCCAGTAAATATTTAGCATTTCCAATTTAGGGATTCAGAATTATCGGCATGAATATATTTTAGCAGCCTGCAATGGGACAACCTCCACAATTCACAATCTACCAAACATTACATTTTATTTCAGAGTTTTCATACTGCAGTATCGTTAATATAATGGTTATTTGCTTGTACTTGAGACCTACTTGAAGCTTGCCCAGTGATAGGTCCTCATCTCCAACCAACGACAAACTACCATGCCCAACCAGATGCCACCCCCGTTACATAGCAGGATGTCCAAAATGACTTGATCCCACCAGCATTCAGCAAAATTAGGCAGCAGGTGCATGAAGAACAGCTACAGAATACAGCAAAAAGATTCTGGGTAAGAAATTCATTCAGACAAAGGTATCTCATTAACATAAGAATGTGACTTTTAGAGACGTTACAGGTGCTGAAAATACAGGAAATATTTTTCATACGACAGGTGAATTTGACCAAAGTCTATCAACCTACAGCTTCAGAGGGCTCTAGATCAGTTTGCACTTCTTGGTGAGAAAGCATTATTACACTTTCCCTCTGTGTGTTTCCAAAAGCTTACTGAGAAGACATGCATAGGATTGCACTGTAAAATCAGTGCTGCTAATATTGCCTTTTCACTAGAAGATTTAATATTACAGGAGACAGAAATTATAGGAGGAAGTACTACACTACTGGTTTTAAATTAGGGAACATAACTGAGACAAGCTGCACATACTATATAGTAATACAGAAGTCTATATTCATCCAGTATATTTCCAAGTAATTGAGTAAATAACTTATTTAGATAGGCTGACTTAAACATGAAATAAATCTGATTTGGCGATTCCAGACACTTGTGTGCAAGAGGAAAACTTCACATCTAGCATGTGTGTCAAATTTAAGGAGCAGGCAATAAACTTGTGCTATGTTTGCAATGTGGACAAACTGCTAGGAAAGCCACATCAGTCATTCCCCACCCCAAGGATATAAAAAACTCTTCACTGAGAAGACGCAACCTACCTCGGTTAGCTCCCAGGTGATACTAATAGTCCAGCACAGTCCATAGCTACGGATTAACAAAGCCTTCATTGCCCAGCCCCAGAAATGTCCAAAAGCAAATATGTCAAAATGGCTGAGGATTCGCTCCCAAGTAATAACATGGCAGTTCACAGCATATTCCTGTTGTTGATTTGGAGAAAGGGGAAGGTAGGTGTGTGTGTGTGTGTGTGTGTGTGAGAGAGAGAGAGAGAGAGAGAGAGAGAAGCAGAAGTTACAAGTCTATTCTGGAAACATTTTCGGAAAAAATAAAACTGCAGACTACAATATCAGAGAATGTTATTTACTCGTCTCATGGTCCGCTATAGCTTAGCCTTGTATTATCATTAGTTTATATACCATTTAATGACAAAGTAGGTTTCTATGCGGGCTGCAGTATAAAAACAAATTGCACAAGCATTAAAACATAAATATCCATTAATTAAAATACACAACCCAACAAAAGGTAAGTGCATGCTTTTATAATGCTGGATTGTAATAATGGACATGCCGATCCTTCAAGAATGGCTAACAATGTGCACATGTTTACTCAGAATTAATCCCCACTGAGTTCAACTGGACTTACTCCCAGATAAGTCTAAATAGTATTGCAGCCTAATTCTTTTTATTATTCTACTGGTCCTCATCACAGTACATGACTGAATGAAACACAATAAAAAATCTGTTTTCTACATCATTAGGGATAATTACTGCCAGATATGGAATATTCTATGCTTTAACCAAAAAGGGGGGCAAATTCTGCAACCTAAATAAATTATACAAATAAGCATGCATTTACCTGCTCTGCTTTATTCACACAAGCAGCAATACAGAAAATCTATAAATACCCCACTGCTGAAACACTGCCTTTGGTCTGAACAAGTTTTGTTTGCCCTCGGTGACTTGGAGTGATAGTCAACTACATTTTATGCAAAGTAAACCCTTTGAAAATAATGAACATGACTAAATTGGGTCAGAGTAGGACTTCGCTCAATACCACCCATAGTCACACAGCCAAATCGAACGGACTGCACATTGATGTCACTGTTCTCAGGAAGAAGGGCTGTTTTTCAAACAAAAAACTGCACTCAAGCTGCAGCCAAGAAGGCCGTGAAGAGACTCATAAATGAATATTCACACCACTGCGCAAAAACGTGGCAGACAGGTTATGCCATTTCTTTGCGACTCTCTCACAATTTGGAAAGCGGGGAGAAATCCTCCTCCCCAAGAGAGATGCATTTTGCAAGGAGAAAGAAATGTCTGTAAGATGCACCCTCTCATATGCCTCATCCCTGCTAAAAAGGCCACAAAACTTTAAACTTCCTGTTAGAGAAGATGCTTCAACCTCCCAACCATATCCAGTATCTTTTAGTGGTGAAGCAATAAAACTGCTAGCCCATTTGCAAAGCTAAGCAGAGTCCAGTATGGTTTCAAACTGGATGGGGGACGTGTTGAAATTCTTGCATTGCAGAGGATTGGACTAGATGACATTCGGGGTCCCTTCCAACTATGATACTATTGCATGATATTTGAACTTTCTTACAGAGAGGATTGGAGAATTCCTATCCCTTTTCAAAGGGATAATGCATGCTATTCTAACACAGCAATATGGTAGCACTATATCCACTCTGGAACAAATATATTTTCTTGCAACACCATCAATACACACCATGATGTCTGCTTCCCTTGTCGCATATCGAAGATTAGGATCGAGCCAGTACATCACGGATTTCACCTGCTCAAAGTTAAGGAAGAGCAGGAATGCCAGAAACAGAAAATAGAGAACACTCAAACCTGTAGGAAAACCAAAGTCAGATGTCCAAAATGTTTGTTTGAAGAGCAATAGCTAAAATCACACAAACAAACCATGTTATATCAATGCCAATGGAACAATTTAGATCAATAAAATCAAAACAAAAGAATAAGAATGAAGTATTCATAATTAAGCAGCTTCCGGAAGATTCTTCTCATACAAGAGTGGCTGGGGAAGCCCAGCCAGATGGGCGGGGTATAAATAATAAATAATAATAATAATTACAATTCCATATCGCTGGAAATCTCCCCCACCCTCGTGAGGTACATGAAATGTTGCATTCACATGTAACAGAAAAAGGAGCAAAACAAATGAGTATTGGACAACCCAGATTCTTCATAGAACTTATCCACCATAGTTTATTCACAACCCTCCAGAATGTCGCAGTTCTTGATAAGTTGTTACTTCATTCTAACCCCACCGTCATGGTTAAACAGGTCACACTCAAAGAGGAATTTAAGCATCCCGTGGCAGCCAAGAGGTTTATTAATCCATCAGTCATAAAGCAGATGCAACCTTGGGTAGGTTTTTGAAGGGCATCCAAACTATTCATGTTGGAAATTCAGCTGTAATCATAATAGCTACAGCTGCTCCACATGCCAACAGATTATAGTTGTACAGGGTGACATTTTTGAGAATACTGCTCAGTGCCTTAGGAGGCCGAGTCCCATTTTCCAAAGCAATTCTGGAACACTTGAGAACTGTCTCCAAATCTTTCCATACATTAAATATTAACATGGTTGTGAAATGTTCATTAAGATGCTGCAAGAAGGGAGACTTGCTGTACCTTCCAACCCCTGCCCCCATTCTTGAGAGCACTAGAAACTGCCATGATGATGATGATGATTTATTTATTATTTATACCCCGCCCATGAGCGGAGAAGTGATTGGGTACCAATGAATATTTGCATCTTGCTCTCCCGCCATTGTTCCATTCTCAATTTCCCTTTTCAAAACTCCAGTGTATTTGCATGCAGATAGAATTAAGTCAAAATTGAATTTACATGACCAAGTGTCCTTTGCAATACCAATTAAATTTGCAGTCACAGGAATTCTGATCAACATCAGAGGGCTTGATCTTTGTGCCATCTCAGGAGATTTGGTGAGTAAGCACTAGAGATGGGAGCCTTCTTCTGTAGTGATTCTTTGACTCGGGAATGTTTTCCTAATTATTTATTTGTTGAGCTCACTCTTTCACCAGAAACTGAAATCACTTCTGTTGCAACAGGCATTTAATGCATACCACTTAGTTCTACTGCTGCTGGTTTTAATGTGTAACATGTTTTGTTCTTGCTGCTCTTAGGCTTTTTCTTCAGTGTTAAGGACTGGTTAACATTGCAAGTTCTTTTCCTTCCTTTTTCACTGATTAAGTTATATGGTTTTGTGGTTATGCTGTATGTCACCCTGTGTACTTTTAGCAGAATGGCAGGAAAAATACAGTATTATTTTCAGGTAATGAATTACTATTTTTTGATGCTCTGGAATAGCGTGAAAGCACATCTTTAAAAACAACTTACCAAAAACCATACGCCATATTGCAGGGTGTGGGCGAGTGAAAGGCCCTGTAGAGAAAAAAGTTTTTCAATAACAGCAAACTGATGGATCAGAAAGAATTGCAACAGGTCATCTAAACATAATCTGAAGGAAATGCAACCATGCCAACCAAGAATCAATCCTGAGCAAGCTTTACAACAAATCAAGTTTTCTATTTAAAGCCATTAAAGGAACTACTGAGACTAATATCTGGATAAAGACACAGATCCTCAAGAACTTGTTGTTGGCGACACTGTGGAAATTACCATGGTATCCAAAAAACAAGGCTCTCTATGTTGTGAAAACAGTAATAGAAAGTAAGTGCCCAACTTCATACCCAAAAGCAGAAGAGGATCTGCAGGAAGATCAGTGCTTGCCAGCAGGAATTCCCAGGTAGTGGGAACATTAGTGCTGGCATATCAGGGAACTGGGATACATTAGCAACTGGGAAAGGCAGAACTGAATGTGCGGGCCTGAAAATTATGAGTTTACAAGTGAAATGTTTGTGAGTGTGATGGTTCTGTTGAGGAGGAAGGGAGATATTGTGAGGACTGTGTGCGTACAAGCACACACAAATACACACACTGCATGTCTTTGTGTACTCTATGCGCAGAGATGCATTATATACACCACTACAGAGGCCCTTGTCAAGAAAGCCAGGATTTCCAGAGTTGGGAATGTGGCCAGGGGTTGCCATCCTTTCATTTACTTTCCATGTTCAGATTCTGCGTCCTTCCCATTCGTCGCACCCCCAGCTGTGGCCCACATTTACTTTGACCCATGGAATGAAGTACTGAGCTAGCCCCTGCCTGCCTGCATTTTCAGTGGGAGATCCATTTCTTTGTCCGACGTGAGTGTATCTAGGAAACTGTTTTTACATATACTATGGAGGCTGCTTAAGGAACACTGGGGCATTTAGCTCCATTATTTTAGGATCCAAGCCAATAATTCAATGAAGTTCGCAGAGAAGAACGAAAGCTTCTGGTCTTCCCGGTGCAGGGAGCTGCTGGGGAGGGGAGAATTGCCCCAAACTGGGCAGACCTGTGCATAGTCTGGATAATTCGGACCTCTCTCAGCAGACCCTGTCCCTCATCCCTCATTGTTCAAGGAGGCTTCCCTTGATTGCAGCTGATTGCAGGGGAGAAAAGGGGACAGGAAACTTTCCTTCTGTGAACTTCCTTGAGTTAACTTATCTTGGGATCCAAAGCAATTATTTCCAACATCTTGAAACTTGTGGTGAAGGACTTAACTGGAATCTAACCAGGAATTCATCCCATAGGGAAAGCAACCAAAAGCTATGGGTTACTCAATAAGGAGTCCCCTATCTACAACTTCTTGCTCAAAGCTTGTCCAAGGAGAACCCCTTTTTGTATCTCCAGATGTTTAACAAGCCTTGGAACTAGTTCTCCTTTTGCAACCATACTCATCAGCATGGAGTACTGCCACCTTTTTTGGGTTTTGCTGCCCATGACAGCCATTTTGTGCTGGCACCCATGACACTTGTAACAAGGCTGGAGTACCTGTGCCTCCTTTTTTACCAAAAAACCCCACTGCTCAGAACAAATCTAAGTGCAACGACTTTAATCAACCTATCAAATTTTAGGGACTTATGGAAACCAGCCAACCAACTAAGATTACTGGAATCTGCTAAGAAATGGAGAGCAGGAACAAGCATGTGTGTAGCACAAGATTGTGATAAAGACAGTTCAAAGCAGGTTACTAATCTAGGATCCCCATGAAAGCCTGGAGGCCCAATCACAGAATATATGCACTATTTTAAAGCTGCAAACCTAAACACAATTACTTAGGAGTTAAGTCCCTGTTAACACAATGAGACTTATTTATGAGTAAATATGCTTGGGATTGTGCTGTAAAACTAACAATACTTTAGTCCTGAGCCCACAAATTTTATCTCCGCCATTTCTGAGATTTACTTTCAAGTCACTTTGTAAAAAGCTAGTTTTCCTATTCTGTGGTTTGTTCCAAATAGGGTACACAGGAGCTTGAATGAAAATAGTGTGAATTCATGTAGCAAAGGAACTAGGTGACTGGCAAAACTGGAGGAAGGGCACGCCGGGCAGGCCACTTAAAACTTCCAGCACGCCAGTCATTAGATACCACAAAGGATATCAAGTGCCATGCACACAGGTTGAATTCGGGTGGAAAATCGTTCCTCTCGGCTACACCACTGAAATCAATACCTTTTAGAGACGCTACTGAGATCAAATACAAATCCAGATTATATGGCTCAAAGCAGCTTAACGTGAGGTGTCCGAAGGCACACATCTGCTCAACTTTGCAGTCTTTGCATTAGAGTTATTTATGTCTGCATTTATCAGGTGCCTGGCTTTGTAACTTATAGCTCAGTGCCCTCTGTGTAAAAATGTAGCCCAGTGCAATCCCAATTATTCCTAGAGGGTATCAGACATCGTTTGATAAATCAGCAGTTCAGATGATGGAGTGGATGCTTCTCTGAAACCCCCCAGCAACAGCGCCACACTGGGAAGGTATTCTGGCTGCTGCTAAATGCTTCTCTTGTAACCTGGTTACCAAGGCAGTACTGACAATCAGGGCAAGGGAACTGGGCCAGTCTTAGAGGAGCAGGAACAAGTCCTCTTAGGAGCAGCTCCATCTCCCTGTGCAAGCATTCCCTGATATTCTGTCTCTTGCCAAAAATGCCCAGGACTGAATTCAGCTATAGCTTCAGTCAGAGAGCGCAATCAACTTTATTCACACCAAACAGTTACTATACACAGTTGCTTTTACTGGAAGAAAGCCAGTTACCATCTGCTGCAGATAATGACCACGGCTACTATCTATTCCCATACCAGACACAATGAGATCACTCTAATGTTTCCAGTAAGAGGGGCAGGCGCAAGGTATTGAAAAACTGAACACTGGGTTTCAGTTAAGCAAGATTTATGGGATGCGACTTCCCTTTCCTGTCTCAGCAGTTTACCTAGGTACAAACCACCCTCTTTTAGTTGATAAACAGGGATAACAGTTGCAGTATGGACCTTCTGATGTGAACCCAGGTCTCAAATTTAAAAATACAATGCTTGTGGGATGAACTGCATAGCAAGTTAGCCTAGTCCAGAGGTGGCTAACCTCTATTTGGCCCAAAGGTCACATTTACACTTGAAGAACCTTCTGGGGCTGCATACCAACACAGAGGTGGCCAAAAGGGGGTGCGCCCAACCCCACACTTTTGCACAGGTGTTCTCTGCCCCAGTTCAGCTAATCCAGGTTATCATTCCCTCTCTGCTCTCCAAACGATTGATCTAACAACCAGGGAGGGGTGTTTTACAACCCCATTCCCCATTAGGGTCCTTTGTTGCCCACCCCAGTGCTGTGTCTACTTTATTATTCCCCTCCCCTTTTTGTTTCTGCCACTAAAATACCGTATTTTTCGCCCTATAGGACACACTCCCCCCCCCCAAAAAATGAAGGGGAAATCTGTGTGCGTCCTATGGGGCGAATGCAGGCTTTCGCTGAAGCTTTGAGAGCGAGAGGGGTCGGTGCGCACCGACCCCTCTCGCTCTCCAGGCTTCAGGAAGCTATCAGCAAGTCTGGGGAGCCCGCGGGAGTTCCCGCAGGGCTCCCTAGGCTGCGGATAGCAGCCTGCTTCCTGGAGCGCGGGGCGCGCTGGAAGCAGAGCGCCCGGCGCTTCGGGAAGACATCTGCAACCTGCTTCCCGGAGCACGGGGTGCACTGGAAGCAGAGCACCCGGCGCTTCGGGAAGACATCGGGCAGCCCCACAAGCTCGGGGGACAGCGGGGAGGCGCAGCGCCGCCATCCCGCTGTTCCCCGACCTGGTTTGGATTCCCCGACCTGGTTTTGGGGGGGAAATAAAGGGGGGGAATTTACTTTATTTCCCCCCCAAAAAACTAGGCGCGTCCTATGGGCCGGTGCGCCCTATGGGATGAAAAATACGGTAAGTGGCATCTTGAGGGATACATTTGCATGGGGGCGAGGGCTGATCAATCACTGTCCAGTAGAAAAGGAAAACTGATGAGAACATCTCAGGCTGCAGTCCTCATGGAATATAGTGAGATTCACTTCTGAGTAAGCATGCATTGAAAAATCAAGCTGTTAGTGCCTCAAGGCTAATAGGAAGCTGCCTTGAGCCTCTTCAGTTTCAACTCAGAAGTTGCCACAACTCAACAGTAGTGTACATGCTTGGCATATAAAATGGTCCCAGTTTTAATTCCTGGCATTTCCAGCTAAAGTGCCAATAGGTGCAGAATGGAACTCTGTTGGAAATCTTGGGAGAAATGCTGCTATTAATTTAGATGGACCATTGACCTGATTCAACATAAGGAGTTACCCCCATATTACACAAGAAAATGAAACAACACAATTGTTTTGCTCTGATTCTAAACATATTTATTTTGAGCAGGGCATATGGATTTGCAAGGAGGCTTACATCCAGGTAGGCATGTGTGCAATCACACATTTTATTTGCATTTAATCACCCCATATCAGAGCACCTCCTCGATTATCATGCACTTATGTGTAGCTTTTCCCCCTCTTTCTTTTTAAAATTCATTTTCTTTGCTGAAGAGGTCAAAGAAAGGGCTCACATTATTTCACACGACTAATCATAAGAACAAAAGATTTAGAAATTTTAAACTCATTTTCTTTAGATGGAACAAAGTTGCTTCAATTGTAAAATGCCCTAATTGCAAATCTTTTTAAGATAGCAGTAAAAATGCATGTTATTTCTGTTAAATATTGTTCCAAACTGGCTTTTGCTGGGAAGTAGGGAAAAAGTTGTCAAGCACCTTTCCCACCCAGAATGCTGTTTCCTACCACCTCTCCTTCAGGAAAGCAGCACCCACAGCACAGGAAGGGAGAAAGCAAGAACATCCCTTTTTGGGAAGGGTATCAAGAGGCAATTTGCATATTTATAAATTAAAGCATATAAACATAACTAAAACACATCAACAGAAGACAACAAAAAAGGCTCTATCTCAGCTTTCCCTAAACTGGGGTCATCCAAATGGGACTCCATCAGCCACAGCCAGTAAATAAATTAGGGCAGTTACCGTCCAAACCATATTGTAGAATTGTAAGAGACCACAAGGGTCACCTAGTCCAACCCCTCCTGCACTGCAGGAATCTTTTGCCCAACGTGGCGTTCGAACCCACAACCCTGAAATTATGAGGCTCATGCTATACAGCAGGCACCGGGTTGGGAAAGGCTCTTCTATGGGAGCTGCCTTTTTTACCCTGAAACTGCATATGCTGTGTCCATCAAGAAAACTCTAGCACGCAAGACTTTATTTATTTACTAACTGCAATTGCACGGTTGCCCAACAACGTATGTTCTACTAGTATCTCACGGAAATTAGACTCATCTTTCATTCCTTTTTAAGAGTATACTCTGGAGTATATGTTACTGCCTTGTTTTGCAGCTTGGCACTGCACAAGATGCTCTTCCAGGGACCATCCCTTATCGAGGTGAAAGTCTAAGAGAGACTGGGACCATTCTCAGAGCAAACAATAGACTATTAAACCAGAGTACCCATAAAACAGTTTGCTCCCAAAGCCCCCAAGCACCTTTGTGTTTACCTTGCTCTCCTATCTGCAAAAGGAGTTGTAGAAAAAAACCGGCACAGAAATACTTGTGGAGTTACTTACCATTCGGAAAGGCTAAAACACTGATGATTAGAAAGAAGAAGATCACACAAAGGATGCCTTTCCAAATATTGTCTTCCGGGGTTGAATCATCCCTAAAAAGAAAAAGTTGGTAATTAAAACAACAACATAGGAGATTCAGGCTGCAATTTTATGCACATTTATCTGCGAGTAAATTCCACTGAACATAGCAGGCTTGATTTAATCTTTGTATGCTCCTTTCCCAACAACTAAACTGAGCTCAAAGTAGTTCACAGCAATAAAGCATAAAATAAAACACTTTCTAACAGAGTCAAGCCCGCAACTTCTGCACATTTGACTTGTGCTCATTCAGCTTTATGAGCTTGGGGGGGCGGAATCTTACAAAATTAAAGAGGGTGGGCGTCTAGGGAAAAGACTTTGGCAATCCCACCTGCCATTGTACACAATGCATTTTGACCATATACCATTTTGGCTCTAGGTGCAGTTCCTCACCCCCACCCCACATATGTTGCAGGCTTAAGTTGTGGGGGCACTGTTTCACAGCTATTCCTTTCCTACCTGAAGGATCAGTTCCCAAGAGTAGCATTGGAGAAATGCCCTTTAGAACCCTTGCATTTGTATTATGGGGTTCCTTTGGGGCCTATTTTGTCCCCAATGCTATTTAACAGCTATATGAAGCTGCTGGGAGCATTGGGAGATTTAGATCAAAGTGTCACCAGTAAACTGATAACACATTTCTCCATTTCTCTGTAACATCTGAATCAGGACTGGCTGGGAAGCTTTTGGATCAGTGTCTGGGTACACAGGAGGGCTGGATGAGGATCAGCAAACTGAATTTAAACCTTGGCGAGACAGAGGCCCTGTTGCAAAGAGGTTCCTATGTCTAGCAGAAGGGTTAGTTACCTGTTCTAGACAGGGTTGCACTTTCTTTGAAAGAACAGATACACGGCCTGGGGGTGCTCCCAGACATGTCTTTGTCTAGGCTAAGCCTGCTTTTCACCAGCTTTGGTTGATAAGACAGCTATGGCTATTCCTGGACTAAAACAGTTTGGACACTGCGGTCTTGGCACTGGTAACCTCAAGACAGGATTATGGGACTGCAGTGCACTCTATGTGGCGCCTGTCTTGGGCTGAACCCACATTGACACTGTGTAAAACCTCTGCTGAGGGAGCTGCACTAGCTGCTAATATGCTACTAGGTTCAATTCAAGGTTTTGCTTTTAGCATTTAAAGTCCTAAACAGCTTGGGACCAGGTTACCTAAGGGACTGCCTCGCCCCAGGAGTATTCCTGCCTGGTCACTGTGTTCCTCATACAGGGCACTTCTGAGACTTAAGACATGCCACAGAGGTGCACTCAGTTTGTACTAGAAACTGGGCTCTTAGTATCACAGCTCCAGCCCTCGGGAGTCAATTACCAGCTGAAATTAGACCCAAGTGTCATAATGTTCAGGTGCCTACCAAAAGTTATTTCAGATAAGAAGGCTTTCCCTGAGGTATGACCCAGTCATTTGTGAAATATTAACAGTACATCTGTAGAAATAGCTTTATTGGTTTTTAAATTTTGTGTGTGTATTATTTTCATCTTGTTGCACTCCGCTTCAGTGTTTGTAGGCTATGGGGCAGTTCATAAATTTGTAAAATAAACAACCCCCATAATGTTTTGGACTATTTGCATCATATGTGCCAAGAAGACTTACCACTGAGTTAGGCAAGGGCAATCCCGCACTTGAATTTACATTCTTCCCTAGCTCTTCTCTATAGAAAAGTATTGTGGCTCCAAGCAACCCCAGCTTTGCATTAAATCAGTATACAAGATATAAAATTTCTTTTTATAAATAACAAAAATGGGGACTATCTTTATGAGCTCTCACACACTTATTCAGAAAGAACTGCGCTCCAAATGCCATCTTCTATGACAGTGAATTCCAGTGCTTTCTATTTAAATAAAAATAAAAAACTTTTCTCATCTGTGTTTCACACCTTGAAAGAAGGAAAAATAGAAGACGATTGCTTTCAACCTGTAGATTTAATCTATTTCGATTTTTTTCCCTTCTGTTGTTATATTTTCCCCACTAGGTTTGGCTTTGCTTTATAGTTGTTCTATGATTTTGCAAACCACCTCAAGCTGTGATAAAGGAAGAATATAGAGGGTTTCAAAGAAAGCAAAACTATTACTGTTATTAACATTAGCACTTATTTTCACCATGAAAATTCTCAAAGAAATGAAGGCCAAATGCTTTTAATAGTAACCAAGGGATACGGGTTCTCAGCTACATTAAGAGATAGAACAATGACACATATTTAAGCTCTTTGAAGCAACGTGCATAAGACAGAGGCAAGATTTTAAAGTATTTTTTAAAAAAGAGGTCATGACCATGGCGGCATTCATCTTAAGAACACTTCTCTGAATTTCTGCTAACACACTCACTCTGTCACGTCCTTGTTTAGCACCCAATGTAAGTAATCTGAGGTGGAAAAGGTGATGCAGGGCCAACCTAGCATTACACGCAGGTGTTGGTTAACATTTCCCTAATGCTTTGTTTTAAAAGAAAGCAGCCTCAGGACACTCCAACCGGGAAGCAAGAAAGCCAACAGTTAGAGATGATGGGTGTAGCAGTTCAGCGACATATGCACTAGGGCCACAGAAGCAGAGGAGAGGGTGAAACAGGAACTTCAGGCTTACCAAAAAACCTGGACATGAGGCAATTTAGGAAGATGGGGAAACGCATGGAGGAACCCAGTTCAAACTGTTTCAATGCCAAATCATCAGCTTAGATTATTATCTTGATCTACAGAAAAACAACTCTCCCCTGCTCCACTTCCATAACTGATGATGAATCAAAACAGAGGATAATCTTGATATGTGGTCATGGCATCACATCAAGACAGGTGTGGCTGGAAGGGTAGTCTTGTGCTATTACAATGCATAATGTAAATTAGCTTAAAATATCAGCCTAGACACTCTCAGCCTCCAAAATTAGAGACAAATTAGATGTCAAAATGACCATGCATCTGGTAAGTTAGCAATTTGTCGTCATCGTCTCTGCTCCATATTTGCTTTATGAGGCAAACACAGGAGGGGAAACATCTTTGCTTCCTAGCTCTGCCTTTGGCTAATACCCTTGTGCTTCTGGTTGTTCCTTAATCGTGCAACCTCTCTGCCAGGGATTCCGTGGTGCATGGCACAGGCTTGGAACAATAAACATCAGGGCAGGGAAATGGTTGGAACAATAAACATCAGGCAAACCTGTTGCAATGGAGCAGAATTGGCCTCTGTAGCACCAAAGCACATGACCAGAACTAGTGGGTGGAAATTGGAGAGAAACAAGATTTCGACAAAACGTCAAAAAACACCCTCAAAGTACAAGCAGTTCAACAGCAGAACAGACTTGCTCAAGAGGTAATGAGCCCTGCTTCACAGAAGGTGTTTAAACAGATGCTGGACAGCTGCCCATCTGGGAAGGCAAGATGAATCCAGCATTAAGCAGAGGGCTGGACTACATGGCATCCATGGTCCTTTGCAAATCTAAATCTAAGCTTCTAGGGATGGCCGACTGGCAGATCTGGGCACAATTTTTAAGAAGTGTCCTACAGGGTATTACCATTGGTCCACCCAGTCCAGCACTTTAGCCAGTTGCTTCTAGGCATAGGTAGGAAACTCAGACTTCTTGTGCCACCAGATCCCTGCCCAACTTAATCAAGGTATAGCAAAATATTTTCCCAGTTTCATTCATACAGAAAATTCATACCAAAATTGGCCACCCCTATTATTAACACTAACAACTAGTGACAACGAAGCCGTGACAGTCTCTCTGAAGGACATAGGAACCGTATATCCAAACATCAGCAATAAAGTAAAATCCAAGAAATCAAAACACACATTATCACCAGAAAGGTGAAAATCCACTAAGAGAGGATGGTCTGGAAAGTTCATTTGCATAAAAGGATATCACTAGAATTGCCTTCAACAACATTCTGAAGGAGGTTTGAATTTTTCCCCCCAGAGAAAAGCAACAGGCATTTAAAGAAATTTCAAAAGGGAAAGGGCAGCAAGGGAGAGGAAGGAATAAGCAAATAAATGAGGTAGTTGTGTGAGGGAAGAAACCTGAGCCCTTACATCTCCAGCTTGATCACTGAGATCATCTGCAGGAGCATCACTGGTCCCCCAAGTTGGCAAGATTCATCTGACAGCAACAATAACCAAGCCGGCTAATTCCTGTGGAATCCTCTGCCAATAGAGCTTCAGCAGGTGCCTTCTCTTTTAACCTTTAAATGCCTGCTGAGAAGTTTTCTATGTCAGCAAGCTTATGCAGGCAATTAAGAAAATATATATTCCTGTAATAGTAAATAGACTGTCTCCAAATTCAAATTTTTGCGTGGTTTTATTGCGTAAAGATACTGTTGTAAACACTTTGCTATTTTTTATGATATAGCATTATATAAATAGTTTTTATAATTAAATAAATGCAGCTGGTCCCAGCCGGGCCAGGGAAGAGGGGCTCACAGTATCATCTCTTTATAAAAGCCACATAAAATAGTTGTGGAGTTGACTGAGACACTCTAGAGTTGTATATACAACATACATTTAAAACACATTGTTTCTTCCAAAGAATCCTGGGAACTCTAGTTCATTCCTCAAATTCCCATGACCCTACAGTCCCCGGGATTTGGGGGGGGGGGCGGATAATGTGCTTTAAATGTGGGTTCACAGCCCGGGACTAGAGGAGCCAATTAGCTGCTGGTCTTAGCCAGACTCATGGAAAGAGTCTCTGTATATCACCGGTACTTATAATGTACCCTGATGAGGTACTCATCTTCTTAAACTTATGCTTCATTGAAACGAACTACACCAACATAACACAACCATGCACTGAAAGTTGTGTCTATACATCCTCCTGTGTTGTCGTTTTTTGAAGCAGTTCAGCTCAACTATTTTCAGAAAGGTGCTATATGGGCAATGCACATCGATTAGCGTTCTTAATTAGCATCTCCCATCTCTCCTGCAGACTGATGCCTACTATTTATAGTCACTTCATCACATTTTAGCATAGTATAGCAGCCCTGAAACTAGTACAAAAGGTGTACGCACAGATCACATGCATTCATGGCTTTTTCACTGCATTATGTATAGTATGAAACTGTGATTGGTGACAGCGATCCACTGGCACACAAAGCTACATAAAGAGATGGAAAACTCTTATGTGCTATGGTCTACATGCTGCAGTTTGACACTAATTCTAATATGAAAGGCAACTCCATGTAGGAACTTTGTGAAATTGAAAGGGCCCTAAAACCACCTCAAATTAAATAAATGAAGAGTTATAAATTATCCAGAAAGCCCGACAGCTCAGGAAGTGACCAATACTTTTGTAAGAAGTGTATCAGATGTACTTTGCCCTAGGGAAACAATTCAAAACACCTGCCAGCTAGTGCTGTAAGATACTTAAAAAACAAACCTCTTTCCCATGAGTAGCTTTATGAATTTGAGAGGGAAGTAATTGCTAGAAGCATGCTTTGACAAGAACAGGGTGGGGAATGAAAACTTCAGAAGGTTCTCTGTTTACTAAACCTATCCCAGCATATTTGCAAAGTTACATAAAGGGAGCATACATTAAATTACCATGTCCAACAACGTATGAATCTAAATGAACTTCTAGATAGCTGGCCAGTTAGAAGGATTTTTCTTATGCCTAGCTTGGCATTCTGATTCTGCTCCACATATTTCACTCTCAGGCCTTTCTTGCCTAGTCTACTAGAGCCATGGTTCCCAACCTGTGGGCTGCAGACCCCCAGGGACCACAGTTACCCCAATGGGTCCACAAGTAATGCCCCTCTAACCAGCATTGATTTCCTCAGCCTCCCTCCTCTTTGCAGTGGCATCTCCACATGTGCTACATTGTCGCTGAAGAGCTCGCACCCCATGGAAAGTGTTGGAACGTGAATCAGCTGCTTTGGCCTGTAAGCTTCCTTGCTTTCCTTCCTTAGTGCTTAGAAGAGCCCAACAGCAAGGCATAGGAACACATTAGTTTTCTATGTTTGCCTTCCCAGCTTTGTCTGCAGAGACTCGTTGTGCCGGGGTTTCTTGGTCTTCTATACATAGGACTTATTGATGGGCCCTTAATTTGATTTTAACATGCTTCATGCAGTGGACCATTAGCAGGATTTCTGCATCCTAATTCATAATTGCATTCAGATGCCTTAGTTTTAGCATTATTGGAGGTGGTTTATAGTGCTTTGTTGGGATAAATTCTGTGGACCGGGGTTGCCCAATTATGTTGTGTGTGTTCTGGTCATTTGGTGTGCAGATCTTTTGGTGCTGGCTGTTGTTCTGAATAGCATTTGTTGCTCAAGCTCGCTGGCTTATAAAGATAAATAAATACAAATAAATATAAATAAAAACTGCAAACAAGTTAACTGTATACATAAAAAGCTTTACTTTTAGGGATTAGGGATTTCATTGAAGTCTGCAACTGGTAACGCTGATTCTATACATAGGAATATATTACGCTAGCAGGAATTAAAGTTTTCATTTTTATTCTGTTAAGGATTACATCAACTGAGTTTACTGGGGGGGGTGTCAATTTGTATTTTGTTCAATTTGATTGGCTGGTTGTTGATCATTGGGTATACTGGGGAAACCAATGAATGAATTCTTTTTTATAAACAAATTCATCTTCCATACCTTTTTGAATCCATCAATTGGGTTGATGCATCTGGGGAAATGAACGAATTTACATTTATGAATGAATATGCTACCTATTTAAATACCTTTCAGGATCCATTACTGTTGATCGATGGGGGGAATAAGTAAGCAAATAAACACCGGGAGAATAAGGAAAACGAATTTCTGCTGCTTCCACTGATTTTGACACGTTTGCAAATTCATCAGAAAAAGGGTACTTTTTTGCAATTCTGTGTTTTCTCAGATAAAGGGGGGGGGGGCTTGCCTAATTTTTTGAGGGTTTTTCGTGGAACTTACATCTCGGTAAACGTGCATAGGAAGAACCGATGGCGCCCGCAGCCCATCTTTCTTCCCTGGAGGAACATAAGGACTCGTGAGAGATTTCCTCATTCGGGTGGTGAACCGGACCAAGCCCTTCTCCGCCTCAGCAGGGCTGACCGTCGCCATCCCCACCCACCGCAGCCCCTACTTTGTCCCAGGGGGGCTTCTCCTCTTCTTCTTCTCCTCCCCCAAGCGAGCTTCTCCTCTCGGGGCAACACGGCTCCCCACAGCGCTGCCCGCCCGCCAACCCTTTTCTCCCACCTGGTGAAGGCGAAGGCCATGAGGCTGAGGATGGTGAAGCTGAGCAGGGTGATGGTGTGCGGCCGGTAGAAGAACTCCAGCGTGATGTCCTCCACTTGCTGCTCGTTGATCATGCGGAAGTGAAGCCGGTAGTTCACGTCGTCCTTGCTGAGGGTCCGGCTGCCCATGTACGACGCCATCGCCTCGCCGACCGGCGGCCGCCTCCGCCTCCTCCTCCTCCTCGCCTCGCCGGCGGCCACCGCGGGGGCGCCCCGCTCCCGCCGCCTCAGCCCGACCGCGGCCGAAGGAGCCGGCGCGGGGTGGAAAGACGGCAGGGAGCGCGCTGGGCGGCTGGCCAGGCTGCTGCAGCGGCGCCGCGGCGGCCCCAGGAGGGGACGCGGGGGGAGAGGAGGCGCGACGGAGGGACGGGCCTTGCTGGGCCGCCGCAGGCCGCGGGGAGGAGCCGGCTGGGGAGCCTCGCCTCCTTCCCGCGCGTCAGAGGCCTTCGCCCGAGCGGGAAGCGCCACCGCCGCAGCGAGTCCGGGGCAGGCGAGGGCCTGCATGGCTGAGGCGAGCCGGGGACTTTCCTAACAGGGGCAACCCGGCGCCGGCGGGACGCCAGGTAAACGCCTCGCTTAGGTCTCGATACGGAGAAGGCTTTGTCAGAGCCGGGCCTCGGGGAGGGCGAGGGGCTGGACCCTGCGGACTCGGCACCGGTGCGAGTTCATCTTCCCCTCCAGGAATCCCCTTTGGAACGGCGGCTTCTATTGTTGCGTCCCCGAAGGGCCTCTTGATTCGGTTCATCTCGATTCGGTTCTCTGCCCCAATCAGTTTGCATGCTTCGCTCGGAAGTAAAGCCCGGTCTCTGGGTTCAGTGGGGTTTGCAACTAGAAACGTGGGAACCTGCCCTATATAGAGTCAGGCTGCTGGGTCCATTTAGCTCAGTATTGTCTACATCAGCCTTTCTCAACTTTGGGTTCCCAGAGGTGGTTGGACTACAACTTCTATCATCCCCTAGCTAGCAGGACCTAGGAGTCAGGGATGATGGGAATGGTATCAAGAAATTGCAGAGCTTCAAGGGACCTTGAGGGTCATCTTGTCCACACACATATCCACCCCCCTCCCCATGCAGGAATGTTTCTCCTAGCCTGAGAGTCGAACCCACGACCCTGAGACTGAGTCTCATGATCTACCAACTGAGCTATCATATCATACAGCTTTTAGAAGACATCTGAAGGCAGCCCTGTATTGGGAAGTTTTTTTATGTTTGATGCTTTATTATGGTTTATATATTCTGTAAGCCGCCCAGAATGGCTGGGGAAACCCAGCCAGATGGACGGGGTATAAATAATAAAATTGTTGTTGTTGAAATTTAGTTGGTTGTTGAAATTTAGTCTTGAGAGATAATGGAAGAGTGCGCCATCAGGGTAAAGTCAAACAGTTCCAGAGGTACAGCGCCAGACCAATATGGGAGAGACATATTTTATTGCAGCTTGGGCAGATGAAGGCATCCGGTTTCAAATACACTATGGAGTTTCTTCTCTCTGCACTCCTCCCAGCAGTCATTTCTCCTTTGGTCACTGCTGTGGACATGCAGTCCACCTATCTGTCTCTAGGCATCTGCATGAGATAATAGCCCCAACAATATCTGGGGACTCAAGGTTGAGAGCAGCTGGTCTATACTCTCCCAGCTCCACCTGAAGAATGCAAGGGATTGAAATTAGGGCCTTTTGCATGCAAGGTTCTACCATTGAGCTAAGGCCCTTCTCCTGATAAACTGCTTGAGGCTATGTAGCAGTGTGCTGGGAGAATGAAGGTGGGATCCTGTGCACACTGCCTTGAGAGCAAGGGCCATTGAGCACAACAGGATATGTGTAGCTCAATTCTGTCCATATTTACATAGAAGTTAAAGCTGCAATTCTGACGCAAGCAGTTATCTACGTAGATTAGTTGTGCCCCTCTTTGGAACCCCAAGAGTCACTTACAGCAGTTTACAAAAAGACACTCAAATTAATATCACAACCAAATCTAGGGATTTTTTGAGACAGCATTTTCCATGTTCTTCCCTGATACCATACCAGGGAGCAGCTCTTAGCACAATCCTGGTGCAACTTTTCCAGTCCTCTCCAGCCAGTTTAACCACCCTCACAATACTTGTGAATCCGAGATTGTGGAGTGGGGCTGTGCAGATGGGACTTATGATGGAAGCAGTCTTCTCTTTTTGGCAGTCCCCAGGCAGAAAGTCATCTTAGCCAGCCAGCCTAAATGTACCAGAGTTCATAATTTATTTGTGGCACATAAACAAGCCAGAGAGTGTCTGTGTCCTTGCTTGACTACTGAAGTCAATTCTTACTCCCCACGGGGAGATATACAAACCTGAAATAATGTAAAATTGTGGTATTTTAAGCTAACATTTTCTTCTGTTTTATGTTCTGTGGTATAGCAGTGTTCCAGGGGTTCTGTGCGGGGAGATTTGGGCAAATTCTAAAGGTACACATGTCCTCAGTGGGCACTTTTTCTTGAATGGATCCAAGTCCTCCTGCCAGTGTCCGTTTGCTTGCCGCTGCCTCCCATCCGCTCTGGAGCTGATCTGTACCCAGAGGAATGGAGGGTGAGTGAGTGGAGGCTGCTGTCGCTATTCCTTTTCCTTCCTATTGTTGCTGAGAAAGGACAGGGAAATGGGTAGTGACAGCAAGAAGATGGGAGTCGGACAGCCAGGAAGCTCTAGAATTGGCAGTGGGACCCCTGCTGCTGTGTAGGACTCAGAGATTGTTGGAGTATTCCAAAAACATCTTCAAGAAAGTATTGCTGCTCTACACTTATGCAGCATGACGGTAATATTATATTGCTTTATATCAGCTTTCTCTAGCTTGATATGCTGCAGATGTTTTAGACTACATCTCCCATCAGTCACAGGCGGTATGACTAATGCTTAGGGATGATGGAACTCGTAGTCCAACATCTGGAGGGCAGCAGTTTGGGGATGGATGCTTTAGACCTTTGCTATATGGTAGACATAGTAAAATAATACTTTTGGTACTGAATGCACTTCAGTTCTGCTTAAATCTTAATCGAATTCTTAATTGTTCCTGTGTAAACTTTTATGCATACAAAATTGGTTTGAATGTTTCCTTGACCATTTTCTTTCTCAATTTTGACAGAATATTGACTAAGATGGCTTCATTGACTCGACAGATATCCAGATGTTGCCCCTTGCTAAAGAAAAACAGTGTTGTGAATAGTGCAAAACAGCTAAGAAAACAAGCTGTCAAAACATGGACACTTCCTCTTCAACAATCCGGATTGCCATTGTTTTGTCCTTACAGATACTCATGTCAACTAGTGTTAAAGAACTCTAAGACTGTACTTTTTGATAACCATGTACGATTCTGTAGTTCAAGCACTGAACTGAATCAGAGTCCAGATAATAATTCATCCTTAGTTAACAGACCAGAAACTGAAATAATATCCAGTTCATATACCGAAGCATTGCTTGAAGAAGGTATGTAACGAATAAAATAAGAATGAAAGTTGTGACCCTCCTAACACCATATCTAAAATTTAGATTTTAACTTCATTTCTTGAGCATTGCTTGCTTGCTTGTAAAGAGGCTTGGAATTACTGGATTGCGTTTCCAAATTGTTTGTCAGTGAACTCTTTAAGGGCTCAGTTCTTTGTGCACTACTGGGAGTTAAGCCATGGTTTGGCTTAGTTTTGCATCCAAATCCTGGTTTATGGCTTATGGCCTGTTTGGAGAGAGACAAACCATGAGCCCAGGTTTGAAATGTAATGCTAAGCCAACCATGGCTTAGGTCATGCCAGCACAACAAGAGAACAGTGAAGTCCCTGTGATTTTTGTCCCTTGCCCACCAGCATTCTAAATGTTCACCTTTAAATTATAGTCTGCTATCCTTCTAGAATCAGGGATGGGAGGGGGTGGAATTTGATTCAATTCACATTTAGGTGAACATAATTAATTTGTACTTTCTGAAACAATACATGAACCGAAACACAGTCCTTCCTCACACCGTCCTCTAAATTTTGAAATGCAGTTCTCCTGTCAAATAATGTGTACAGAAGTGCATATTCTAGGGCAAAGTGTGTATAAATGCTTATATAGGAGAAAATAATGTTATATTAGGCAGAATTCCTTTGCAGAAATGTGTATAATTAGGCATAATTGTACATAACAATGTGTATTATCATGAGGACTTTTTTTTAAAAAAGCAAACTGCTACGGAAATACAGGGGACTTAATTTAAGATTGGAAAATGAGAAACTGAGAGAACTTGAAAATGGCAGATACACCCATCCCTGTTTGGAATACATAGGATAGGACTCCTCAATAACTATGCATTGTCTGCCTCCAGGGCTCCACCTGCTGTTGTTATTCTTCTGTTGCTTTGAACAGTAATATCCCAGTTGCTGTTGAAAGTCAGACAAACAGGAACAATGGGATCAGTGAACACTTGTGAATTGTCCTCAATAATGAAATAATGTGACAGTAACTTAACCCATTCCCAGTTCAGTGTCTATTTTCTGTTCTTATGCTCATTTTTTCTGTATAGCAGAAGATCTCACTGTCACAAAGCTGATGATCACTCTGGTTCTAAATTTAAATTGTGAAATTTCCCTTCCCTGAATTAGTGGAATTATATTCCCACTGGCCTCTGTGAAGGTGAACACCGCACACAGAGGGAGAGAGAAAATGTTACATCTGTTGTTTTCTCAATGGTTCTTTTTCCTTAATGACCTTCAGGATTAGAAGACACTTTGCTTTCATCCCCTTTTGAGGAAGTTTCGGAAGATGAGGCTCTTCAGATCAGGGCTGAGCCACCACTTCCTTTTGAATCGTTCACGCTTCAAGATTATGTCAATCATTCAGAAACACTGCAGAAGCTGGTGCTTTTAGGTAAGCATAGCTGTACCGGGCAGGTTCTTCAAGATATGCTAAAGACTCTTCAGCCTTCTCTTCCTAGATCATGATGCTGTGCATACAAAGTCATTATTTGCTTTTGATACAGTAAAATGGCATAAAATGGTTTTGCATGCACAGCATGATAGCAGCAGAATGTATAGAGCAGATGTAGCTATGCCCTTCAGATGCTGAACCTGCAGCTCCCATCATCACTGACCGTAGTGCTTGGGCAGTTGCGGTCCAAGCACCATGTTGGCTATCCCTGTATTCAAAAATATAGACCACAAAGCAAGAAGGGTATAGTGCGGATAGGAAAATGCAAAGCACTGCAAAAGCATCTTTCACGTTTTTCAAGGGCAGGAAGCAGGTCGGTGTGAACTGTGAGGAATCGGTGAAAAATGAGAACTTGCTTAGAACGGCTTCATTTTAGCTACGTGGACCTTAAGATTTGCAGCTTCAGGTTTGCAAAAGTACTATGTTGAATTGCAAGATGCCTATGACAGCAGTTTTCTGAATGGCTTCATCTGGAACAGGGATGAGAAATGCAAGGCTCTCCAGGCGGGGACTCCAAATACCATCAGCTCCAGCCAGCATGGCCAGTAGTCGAGAATGATGGAAATTATGGTCCAACAACATACGAAGAGCCACAGAGAATTGTTCTAGAGAGTGAAACCAATCCATTCAATCAGTCCACAATTATATGATTGTTGCAGATTTTAAAACCCCAGTAAGTAAAAACTTGAGGGCAGCCTTTGAGTCCATTCTGCCATTATCCTCAGTAGTACAGAGCTGCTGTATCATAGCTCATTTTGGCAGCACTAGATAACATTGCTACATACCATAAAAAAGCATTAACAACACTTTCCACAAACTTGTACATTCTTACACTATTAGAAATCCAGAATTTTTCATTAAGCATCCCACTAAATTTATGTTTGAATGTGCTGCAGGAGTTGATTTGTCCAAAGTGGAAAAACGTTCAGCTGCAGGCCAGCTACTTCTCAAGTTGGACTTTGAAAAAGATATAAAAAACATCATCCTGTTTCTCAAGGATGTTGGCTTGGAAGATAAGCAGCTTGGGCCATTTATCACAAGAAATCCCTATATTTTCAAAGAAGAAGTGGAAGATCTAAAGACAAGGTAAAATGACTTCTGTATTCATCAATCTGTTATCTTGTTCTCTCTCATCTGTCTATCATCTCTCATCTATCCACATGCCTGAAATATTCATATATTTCATGTGTGTGTATGCCTGAAATATGTTACTTTGCTTTGGGGATTTTGTACAGTCTGCTTAATCTGTCCTTCTCAAATGTTGTAGTAGGGGAAGGATAGCTGGTGATCCTATTCCACAATTTCAAGTGTTCAGCATCAGCAGATGCTGATTATGCTATCCAGAAGGTGGTCAGACTCCATTACTGAAAATGATTATTTCCAAATGGAGTCCCAAAATGAGCAAACCTTTTTCATACATAGGTTTTGCTTTCATTGGGACATTTTCTGAAGCTGGGCGTGGGAGATACTTGGTCTGTTTTCAACAGAAATAGCAAAGTATTTAGAATCATAACTGCAGAATTTTGTTCCAGACATTCTTCTGAACATGGCAGTTGTCAGAACAGTTTAGCTTTATGTAGACACCAGCTAAGCTAAAGGACAGCTTTCTCAAGTAAGGAGGATTAGAATTAATCTTGTGTCGTAAACATGAACCTAGGTGTAGGGGCAGCTACACAAAAAATAGTGTTGTGGGAGTGGAATTAAAATTCAAACATTCTTTGTCATTGGAATTATTCCCAGAGGCTGTTGGGCAGGGTGGAGTGGTAGAAAATAAATGGGGAAAGTAGGAAGTTGGTTAGAAATGCATTCCTCCTGTCTCACCCTTCCTCTTGAAGGCTTGTTATTAATTGATTGTTCTGGTTGAAAGACACCCACACTGTTCAGTCTGATGAACAGAAGATTTCAGCCTATTAAGGCAGCGCATCCTAAACCTAGCTAAAGGTAAAGGGACCCCTGACTGTTAAGTCCAGTCGTGGACAACTCTGGAGTTGCGGCGCTCATCTCGCTTTACAGGCCGAGGGAGCCGGCGTTTGTCCGCAGACAGCTTCCGGGTCGTGTGGCCAGCATGACTAAGCCACTTCTGGCAAACTAGAGCAGTACACGGAAACGCTGTTTACCTTCCCGCCGGAGTGGTACCTATTTATCTACTTGCACTTTGATATGCTTTTGAACTGCTAGGTTGGCAGGAGCTGGAACCGAGCAACAGGAGCTCACCCCATCGCGGGGATTCGAACCGCCAACCTTCTGATCAGCAAGCCCTAGGCTCTGTGGTTTAGACCACAGCGCCACCCACGTCCTTTCATCCTAAACATAATACAGTTAAAACAGAATGAACAGGAGCATAGACTTATTTGTCTAAAGTGAAAGTGTCATTTTTGCAATTGCCAGTATCCGCTTCAGAGAAAGAATGCAAAGCTGAGCAATAAAAAGCTTTATGTACCAGACAGGTTGAGTAATTGTATTGACCCAGCATAAGCCTCACACAATAACTTACTCAGACAGTCTGGAGCAGTGAAATGATGGCTCTCAAGAATGAGGCATCAATACGATCTCTTCATAAATATGTACACTAATCATGAAACATTTTTCAAGTGTGCATCTTTATGTAGCCAAAAGAGTACCATACCTGTGCATGACACAAGTGTTTACAGGCTTGGGTGAACCCCAAGATCTGCAGAAGAAGAAAAATTATTCAAGGATGAGGAAAAACTGGGGTGGGAAACCCTGAAAAGGCCCTACTAAGGAATGAGTCTACCCTGCTTAGTGGCCATGAAATGTTAGGTGACTGCTGAAGGGAGAGGAGTCAGGGGAATATAATGGAGTATATCTAAAGAAGACAATGGTGGGTGGAACCCTGAAGAGGAGCACTCCACAATGCTCTGTTTTGTTGTAGTTCCTACATACCTCTCCAGAACATAGAATGCAATTAACAGGAAAAAAAGGATTCAAAATTGGCTGGGTTTAGGCATTTGGGGCATCTCAGCAGGTTTAAAATCTAGTGTGCAGTTGTACTGGTGCTGCTGCAAAATGTGTTCATATCTGTTACCTACCAAATTAATAGTTAAAATTAGGATCAGAGGAATTTGCCTTGTACCAGCTCATACCATTGGTCCATCTACCTCAGTATTATCTTCATGGACTGGCAACAGCCATCGTGCCAGGGTTTCAAAAGGCACCTTTCTTGCTCCTGTGATAACAGACCCTAAATGATGTTTGCCTAAACTCAGATAGCTTTTTAGATAAGTAAATGCAGTAGTATGCAAATGTTTTGTATCTTCCTGTAGTGGCAGCATAAGCTGATGCAATAGAAGCAGGATGTGGTATTTTGTAAACCTGGGCTGAAGCAACAGCTGGTAGACTACACTGAAAATAATTTGTTTAGCATTGCCTAACTCAGTGTATGTCTCTAGACCCTGTGCTCCTAGTTAGATGTGCACAGGCTTCCTAGTGTTGTGACTGAGCCACCAATGAGATATTGTATGCTTTATTCTCCATCTTTTGTAAGCTGCTTTGAGACATTTGGAGAAAAGCAGGGTATAAATTTCTTAAATACGTAGCTCTGTCCTATCTGAAATAAACCCCTTAAATTAATAGGTGTTACTTTATTTGATTTGGTTTGTATCCCACTATTCCATGGGGTAAGGGTACCTAATATACATTTTGCCAATATTTCTGTCTCTGTCCATAAAGGGGCTCACAATCTGAGCATAATGTTAAGATGGTTTGAGGCGGGGGGGGGGGGAGGCCCTCAGGCCTAGGGGCTGGTTGTGCCCTCCAGAGCTCTCTATATCTGGCCCTCAGGATTCTCCATAGGACACATTCCTCACTGTTTCTTCATGAAGTGATTTTGCCCTGCTTGGAATGTGTCTTTGAACTGTGGAATATTTCTTGCTTGCCTGGAATGAAGAGGCAGCAGTTGTAAATGCAAACCACTGATTTTTAGATCGCTGGAAAGTAGCCTACTATATAACCGTAGAATGCTAGAATTGTAAAGACCACAAGGGTCGTCTATTCCAACCCCCTGCAATGCAGGAATCATTTGCCCAACATGGGGCTTGAACCCACAGCCCTGAGATGAAGAGTTTCATGCTCTACCAACTGAGCTATCATGTACCCTACTATACACAAGTAAGAGTTGCATGGATTGCTGCATTCACTTTTTGCCTCTGGCCTTTCCCACCACTGATGCACAGCCTGCAGAAGGTTTCCCATAAGGCAATGTGGCCCTTCATCTGCAAAAGGTTGCCCCCTGCTGGTCGGATGGAACAAGTCATAGGAACATAGGAAGCTGCCTTATAACTGAGTCAGACCATTTATCCATCTTGGTCTCAGTATTGTCAGTACTGACTGGCAGCAGCTCTCCAGGGTTTCAGATAGGCAGTCTCTCCCAGCTCGACCTGGATGTACTAGGGGTTGAAATTGGGACCTTCTGTGTTCAAGGCAGATGTTCTGCCACTCAGCTCAGATTATCTTGCCTCTGTGGCTCCCCTTCTCCCCGGTTACAGGGAGAATTTCACAACGTACAACTAGTTCCATTCAGCTCCCTTCACCTTCTCAGTGGAAACAAAAAGACATGGCTAAGAGGAGTATACTGTGGTAGGGAACCTAGGATTATATCCTTCCGATTAAATAGGCATATCATAGCCTTTAAGGGCCTAGTCTTTAGCAGGCAGCATTGGCAGTAGTGGCAGCTAACCTGATTTGCTTCTCTCCTTCACCTGTATGTCGGTGTAGGATGTAGATGTTTAGGATTGTTCCTGTGATTACTTTTTTCTTCTTCTAAAGATGCCCTTTAGTTCATCAGATCACCTTCATCAAATTGCCAGTTTTGATTGTGAAAGTGGACATTTCTTTCAGTGCAAGCCATTTTGGATAGTAAGATCATGGGCTGGTCTTGACATAATTTTTGTTTAAATACAGCTGGAAATCATTAAATTAATCCAGGCGTAAAATATTTTGCACCAAGAGTGTTTATTTTCTTTGCCGTTAATTGGAAATCACGGTATTTTGCTTTTGTCATACCTGCAGACTTTTCCACCCTTCTTCTTGGCAGCTTTGCTTGTTAATATTATTAAAACATCCGTCATTTTGAAACATACTGCTGAGGAACTGGCAGAGCTGGATAAATGATGGCCTTTCTTATTTCCTTCATTTTAATTTGGATCTTTCTCTCTTCCAGGGTAGCTTATCTAACATCAAAAAAATTCAGCAAGGAAGCAATTGCACAGATGGTCTCAGGGGCTCCATATTTACTCCTCTTTTCTGTGGAAAGACTGGATAATAGGCTGGGTTTCTTCCAAAAAGAACTTGGACTCAATTCACAAAAGGTGCCTTCTGTTTTCACTTGGGTCATGGTGATTGGGCCAGAGGGCCTATTGTTAAAATAACTAAACAAACTCTACAAGCAGGTAGCTAATATCTCTCGCATTACTGGGACCTAAAATACTGCTTCTAAAATACTATTATCTTCTTAGAACCATATATAAAGTATACAACCTTGTGCGGACAGTTCAAATTAGTTCATGCAAATGTTTGAGGAACACCCATTACAAGTTCATTGCTAGTTATCCTGAAATACTAATTTTACATGGAATAATGCCTATGCTAACAGATAAATAATTGACTTGGAATTTCAGTCAACAAGGTCACAGAATGGAAGTTCAGCTACACCAGGCATGGCCAAACATGGCCCTCCAGGTGTTTTTGGGACTACAGTTCCCATCATCCCTGACCACTGGTCCTGTTAGCGAGGGATGATGGGAGTTGTAGTCCCAAAAAATCTGGAGGGCCAAGTTTGGCCATGCCTGAGCTACACAATATGTTGAGAACTTGTCCTACGAAAGCATTTTTGAAATTGTTTTATCAAATACACACGCTTATCATGGGTGCAGCGTATGTGGCTGGCCTGTGGTAGAACGTATCTTAAAAGTAGCCCCAGGACCCCAGAATGTTGAGAGGGTGCTGAGATCTTCTGTGCCTAGTTAAAGAGGAGAAACCTGATGTTCCCTAAAGCTGCCATACCCCACCCACAACGCAAATAGTGGAAGGCGGTCAACAGCAACCCAAGACTGGGCAGAGCCAAAAACCATACAATCCCAAACAGAACTCCAGAAAGTAGCTTTGGAGTTTCTGCTTACAGAGCTGAGGCTTTTAGGCAAGTGGAGCCAGCCTTAGGGAAGCTGTCTGAACACACCAGCACTCCTTCCACCCCACTCAAGCCTTTCCCTGTGGTGGCTGGATCCTCAGGATACATTTTTCCAGGCAGCATGAAGGGTGAAACTTTGTGTAGAGTCACCCAGGCTGGATCTGTTCCTTAATTTGGGCTTCCATTAATTAGTGGCATCACTGGCTTGGGTGATCTTTCAGTTTATCCTTGGTCAGAGACCATGAAACAAAACAAAAGAAAAGAAAAGAAAAAAAGACTTCTACCAAGCACAGCAGGGCTTACCTTCTGCTCCCTCTGGCTGTGAAGTGGGCACTTTGCGACCCCTAAAGCAACTCTACAGTATATACATGAAGGAAAGATAGTCTTATATTCATTGATCCTGAGACACAGGCTGAAATACTGTACACATGTCCTACTGAAGAGTGGGGCTTACTTCAGCGGAGAGGTGGATAGCATTGCTCCAATAGTGACCTGCCCAAGATTGCATGTACAGTGGAAGCTACCTGCAACCATAATCCATTCCGGAGGTCTGTCCAGAGGTCAAAACGGGTCGCTGGGAGAGGCACCGTTGTGCGCAGGTGTGGGTGGCAATTGCCCACTTCTGCGAAAGTGTGAACAGTGATCACCCCCTCTGTGCATTGGCAAATGGTGATCGCCGCTTCTGCACATGTGCGAATGGCGGCAACCCTGCAAGATACTTCTAGGTTTGCTGCGGATGTTGGGCGAAATGAACGCAAGCGGAGGTGGACTTAAGTAGAGGTTTGACTGTAATCATATTAGAATAAATAAGTCTCTTCACACATTATTGTGCAGGGAAAATGCCACATGTGCAGGAAAAATGCCACATATTGAGGGCCTTTTGCTCACCCAGTGGAAAATGTACACCTTTTCAAGTAGAATAAATCAGTGCTGTTTAAAAAATGTCCAGTAAAGAAATGCAAATACAGATTTATTTTATCTTAAGCAGATATTATCTAATACACATTACTTTACTTATTATTATTTTTTCCTTCCTTGTATTTAAAATACAGACCAGAGATGTAGTAACTCGTCTTCCAAGGTTACTGACTGGCAGTCTTGAACCTATTAAAGAAAATCTGAAGGTAAGTTAGGATAGTATCTTAAGAGTAGTTAGCCATTTCAGCTCTTAGAAAAGCTTTAAGAGATGTAACAGGAAATATAAGAAGTACAGCAGCCTAAATAGGGTTGCATAGGCAGCAGGACTACTTAACACTTGTCAGGTAGCAAAATGTAGCGTGAATAATAACTTGGTCTTATAATCTACTGCTTAAAAACGTTGTCAAAGTGGATGCTGGAATCCTAGAGAAGGGTTGCCACTGGTTCCTTTGTTCAAGCACTGGAACTCTGATTCAGTTAGTGTGTCTCTTGATGACAGAAAGCATTAATCAGTGGAATGAGGAGGCATCAGTCAGTTCAGCGTTACTCCTTCACCTTATGTGACATGAGATCCTAAGGGTCATCAAAGTATCCCCCAAAACTCCTTGTGCCATTTTATTCGGGTTTTTGAAGAGACAAATGACAAAATGGCATTTGAAAGACTTAGGCAGAAGCAGGGATCATTAGAACTTTTTCGTGAGTAAAAATGGCAATTTTAGACTTCCAATATAATTTAGTAGTTATGTGTGTTCCTCTAGTACAAAAGAGGACTTCAGGCTTTATGGAAAAGAATTGTGGTGGCCTCATAAGTATGAGGCTATGGACAATACTTCATGCCTGACAGTTTGCACAAATGTGATGGAGGCTTCATGCTTTCTTTCTTTCTTTCTTTCTTTCTTTCTTTCTTTCTTTCTGAGTTGCCAGGGCAGCTTCCAGGTTTCTACAGAAGTGCCTCTCCTTTTTTTACCTGAAATTTTATTGCAAGTTTTCAACCTACAATACAATAAAAAGAAGTGTCTCTCCTGTGTCTCATCACTTGTCAACATATTTCCCTCTTTCCTGATGTGTTTTAAGCTACATCAGCTGACTTGATCGCAATCACTCTTTTTCAGGTGTATGAGCTGGAACTTGGTTTTAGTAAGAATGAAATTCAGCATATTGCACACAGAATCCCCAAGAATCTAGGTATAAGCAAAAGGAAGCTAACAGAGATCTTTGACTACGTGCACAACGTCATGGGCATTCCCCACAGCATGATGGTTCATTTTCCCCAGGTGAGACTCTTGGATGCTACCTAGTTAACTGCAGTCATAGGAAGAAGTTTGAAAACTGGGAACTGTATTGAAGGGAAAGTTCTGTAGTCTACAAACTGTGTGATGGAAAGGCCTAGGTTAATATATTGTAGAATGGGATCAATTTGCAGATATGATTGTTAGCCTTAAATGCCACATAGTAAATGTGAGCAGGTTTGAGCTAACAGGTTAGTCCTACTGTTTTCAGTATGTCTTACTAGCAAGTAAGTGTACATAGGAGGGCAGTCTTGGCAGTTTCCGTCATTAGCATTGATCTTGTTTTCATTTCAGGTTTTTAATTCAAAGCTGCTGCGAATCAAAGAAAGAGACATGTTTCTTAAATTCATTGGAAGAGCACAATATGATCCAAAACAGCCCAATTATATCTCCTTAGAAAAACTGATATCCCTGCCAGATGATGTGTTCTGCACAGAAGTTGCCAAAGCAGAAAAACAAGACTTCTGCATTTTCTTGAAAACACTGTAAAAGAAAAGAAAAAAAACTTTGTTAATAAAATAAATCTGAAGGTGTTTTTCTCAATTGCATGTTTTGTGGCAAAAATGACAACTTGTGAAGCTACTTTGTTGAGAAAACCTACATCTAATCCTACATCTTAAAAATATACAAACAGGCATATTTTGTACTGCTGACAAAATACCAAAAGAAGACCCAAAATAAAGACAATAATACTTACCGACTTGCTGGTGAGAAAGAGGGGGAGGGAATTTGTTGGAGCTTTTTTTCTGTAAAGTTTTGGTATATGGTTATGAAAACCAATAAAGAATCCTTTAAAAAATACAAACTTATTTAGAAGAGGGCACGACTAATATATAGGTGCACTGAGTTCAGCCCAGCACAGATACAATACAGTGGACGCTCGGGTTGCGAACGTGATCCGTGCGGGAGGCACATTCGCAACCTGCAGCGCCGCGTCTGCGCACACGCGCGGGTCACGATTCAGCACTTCTGCACATGCACAAAGTGCAATTTAGTGTTTCTGCACATGCGTGAGCGCTGAAACCCAGAAGTAACCCATTCCGCGGTGCGCAACCCAAAAACGCACAACCTGAAGTGTCTGTAACCCGAGGTATGACACTATTTGTAAAAGGTAGATATTGCCACAAACCAAAGGTAGATATTGCCACAAAAGGTAGACATTGCCACAAATCAGAAGGATAATGATAAAAGTATGTCTATTCTGCCATATTGTGAAATAACAGGGCAGTGTGCAGTGTTAAAAACACATCATTTTTTAAAAAATACATTGGCTCATTAAAAAATATATAATTCTTGACTTGAAGGCCAATGTTCATTCTACTTGGCCATAGTAATAGTGCTGCTTAGTCTTAGAATCATAGAGTTGTAGAGTTGGAAGGGACCTGAGGGTCATCTAGTGATGCAGGAATATGCAGCAGTCCCATATGGGGAATCAAACCTGCAACTTTGGCAGTATCAGCATCACACTAACCAACTGAGCTATCCAGTCCGATATGAGCTGCTCACAAAATGTGACAGCCAAAAAAACCCACATGAAAACCAGATCAGTGGGGAATGGAAAGGAGTGGCTGCAAAAGGGGGCCAGAGAAATAAAAACTTAATTTAAAAAGTAGAAAGAGCCACCTCATTGTCTGGATAGGCCATGTCCCAGTTCACACTGAGAATATACTTTTAAATGTTCCCAGTAATAGAAGTGAGAGCTGCCCATAGAAATCAAGGAGTAACTGGAACCCTCACTACATTTTGTTAGAGGCTTTTAGATTTTTGGCAGACTAATGCTAATGGGTCAGTATTAGTATTAGTATTAGTATTACTATGGTCCCAAATCTGCAGTTAACATCAGTAACTATGGCCATCTTAATTATAGGTCATGCCATGGCAATTGGCCAGGCTTTCTATTTATCAGCTATTTTACAAATCTTATTTCAGGGCTTTGTGTCTTTTGTGTGCCAGTAGCACTGCTGTATAACCACAAAATTGGTTGCATAGCACATTCTAAGGACCAGTACAGTGGTGCCCCGCAAGACGAACGCCTCGCAAGACGGAAAACCCACTAGACGAAAGGGTTTTCCGTTTTGGAGGCGCTTCGCAAAACGAATTTCCCTATGGGCTTGCTTCGCAAGACGAAAGCCCATAGGGAAATCTCCGGGGACCTCTTTTAAATGCTAGCGGTGGGGAGCAAAGCCTTCCCCCCCCCCTCCGGCCTTCAGAAGAGGTCCAGGAAGGCTGGCGGGGGCCGAACGGCTTTGCTCCCCACCGCCAGCATTTTAAAAGCAGTCCGGGATAGCAGGGAAGCGCTTCCCGCTATCCCGGACGGCTTTTGAAGGCAGGAGAGGTCCGCGAAGCCTGGGCGCGCTGATCTCAGCGCGCGCAGGCTTCGGCATGCCGGCAACTCTCCGCAAGCAGCGGCAGCGCTGCCGCTGCTCGCGGAGAGGTCCGCGGAGCCTGGGCGCGCTGATCTCAGCGCGCGCAGGCTTCGGCATGCCGGCAACTCTCCGCAAGCAGCGGCAGCGCTGCCGCTGCTCGCGGAGAGGTCCGCGAAGCCTGGGCGCGCTGATCTCATCGCGCGCAGGCTTCGGCATGCCGGCAACTCTCCTCAAGCAGCGGCAGCGCTGCCGCTGCTCGCGGAGAGGTCCGCGAAGCCTGGGCGCGCTGATCTCAGCGCGCGCAGGCTTCGGCATGCCGGCAACTCTCCGCAAGCAGCGGCAGCGCTGCCGCTGCTCGCGGAGAGGTCCGCGAAGCCTGGGCGCGCTGATCTCAGCGCGCGCAGGCTTCGGCATGCCGGCAACTCTCCGCAAGCAGCGGCAGTGCTGCCGCTGCTTGCGGAGAGGTCCGCGAGCCTTGGCTGGACAGCTTTTGAAGGCAGGTGGGGGGACAAGACTTTCGCCCCCGCCAACCTTCAGAAGAGGTCCAGGACCTCTTCTGAAGGCTGGCGGGGGCAAAAGTCTTTGTCCCCCTGCCTGCCTTCCCAGGGGCTTTAAATTGCCCCGGGACAGCGGAGGACTTCTCCGCTGTCCCGGGCAATTTTAAAATGCCGCCCGCCCTCCTTTTAAGTTCGCCCCCGACAGCGGAGCAGCCCTCCGCCGTCCCGGGGTTTTTTAAAATGCTGGGGTGGGTGGGTAGTAAAGCCCTTGTCCCCCCCAGCCTTCAGAAGAGGTCGGGGACAGACTGTCCCCGGACCTGGTCTGAAGTCGGCTTCCCTAGGACGCATTAATTGATTTTCAATGCATTCCTATGGGAAACCGTGCATCGCAAGACGAAAAACTCGCAAGAAGAAAAAACTTGCGGAACGAATTAATTTCGTCTTGCGAGGCACCACTGTACATAATTTCTGTTCCTTGCCATTCTAGTCAGTTCTGTACTTGGCAATATTCATTTAAAGGAGTGGAGGTCCAACTCAGAAAATAAGTCTTGTTTCCACACTTTTCTCGATGCCAACGGTACACATGAAACACATTGAGCTATTTCCCATGTTTATATTTTTTGAGAACTGTAAGGTGGTGAGAGACATTGCATTTTACAAGTGGGTTGGGAAATGTAAGTTGAACCTAACAAGGTTCAGCAGTTCCAGTTAATAACTATTAATATGGTTGTGAAAGTTAGCTCCAAAAAAGGAAGGGAGTTAATATTCAGGTATGGAATTAATAGTCTTCTGGAATGCAACAGGAGATTTTACCAATCAAAGGCCTTACTTTTATATTAGCAATGAAGAAAGGCAATGGATAAGACCCACAGATGAATGGCTTTTTCAGTGTGCTCATTTCCTTTTTTAAATTTTTACCGGCATCAGCTTTTGTTATGGGTCTTCTTACTGGGTGCTTATTCTAGGAACATTTTTGGGTATGTAGCACACCGCTCCTATTTCAAAAATTCAACCCCTGGTGTTAGGAGTGCATTAATGGCACTGCAATCTCACCCCACCCTCATCATTTACTGGAGTTCCTCCAATTTTATTTAACAGCACAGGGAAATAGTAAGCTATTGGGTTTCTTGATTTTTAAAATGCTACACTTTATTCTCATTTTCTCAGTGTAGCTTGATTCTTATTTGGGTTTTTTGTTTGGTAAAAACATAGCTGCATAGTAACTAACAGCTAAGAAAACAAAGCCCTATCGGAAACTGTTTATGGGGAACTCGGTGGTTCTCTTTGCAGGCAGGGCTCCAACCAGTCGTTTGCGGCGCAATATTTGGAAGGTGAAATGCAGAGTTGGCCAAATACGCTATTTCCAAAGAAGCTGTGCATGCGGGCGAACTATGGCCAGAATCAAATCGACACCTAAGTTTCCTTCCTTCCTCCGCCATCACCTTCAAGCTCCCATTGCTCCTTTCCAGCTACATCTGCACCTGCCCTTGCCAGGTGTGAGGCAGGTGGCCACGGTTTATGGGGCAGGGGGGGCCAGACAGGCGTGGACCGGGGCCGAATAAAGCCTGCCGCCCCCACAGCTGATGTTCTCCAGTTGCGGTGCTTGTTTCCAGGACATCCACTGAGCTTCTCACGTTTTCTGAAATCGCAAGCGGGGAAACCACATCAGAACGAACCAGGAAGCGCCCGCTCCACGCAACAGAAAATCACATCTACCACTTTTTTTCTCTATGGTCCAGCCGCCGCGTAGGGACGCACAGGCGCGCGCAACCCACGTGACAGCGCAGGGAGCGCGGTGGGTGGGTAGGCTGGTTGCGAGCACGTGATCTGAAAGGGGGAATGTGGGCTTTTCGGAACGCCGGTGCGCGTGCGCGTTTCCTCAGAGGTCGTCAAGATGGCGGCGAGGGCACCGGGTGAGTGAGGAGAGGGGAGAGTCGGTGGTGAAGGGGCTGCAGCGGGGAGGGAGGAGGGCGGGAAGCTTCCCGGTGAAAGAAAATGGTCGAGGGGGCCCGCCAGTGCTTGTGTGGCAATACACGGGGCGTGTGCGAGAGGTTATGATTGCCTGGTGGGGACGGAGAGGACACGGGGCGCCTTCTGTTAACTCTTGGCGTGCCAAGCGGTTGTGGGTTTTTCCACAGTGTAATCATGGGTCAGCAAACTTTTTCAGCAGGGGGCCGGTCTAATGTCCCTCAGACCTTGTAGGGGCCGGACTATATTTTGAGGGGGAAATGAACGAATTCCTATGCCCCACAAATAACCCAGGGATACATTTTAAATAAAAGCACACATTCTGCTCGTATGAAAACACCAGGCAGGCCCCACAAATAACCCAGAAATGCATTTTAAATAAAAGGACACATTCTACTCATGTAAAAACACGCTGATTCCCAGACCGTCCATGGGCCGGATTTAGAAGGTGATTGGGCCGGATCCGGTCCCCCGGGCCTTAGTTTGCCTACCCATGGTGTAATCCTTTAAGGGCATACTCAGAAGTAAGCCACGTCACGTTCAACGCAGGCAATAGGGTTGCATGTTAAGAGTTTCCGTAGCGAAGGGTGTTACTCTTGTGGGACCCTTATTCACGTACTGCTTTGAGGTCCGCCTCATCGCCCTCCCCCCTTCTTTCTATCCACATAACCAGCAAAAGGTTTGTAGGCGAATCTTCTCACTGCCCGAAAAGCTTGATTTAGTTGTTTATAGTCACGCTTCATGCTGTGCACCAGTAGCAATTTGTAATTATCCCACGAGGGCTCTCATTCTAAGTAATCTAAGGGTATCCGGGAAGCAAAGAATAGATGAATGAAAAGCTCATTTGGGAGTTTCATTTTGGCCACCCTTATCTCTTGAAACAAACAGGTGGCAAACGGCCCTCTAGAACAGCAGCAAGTAGCAAACCTGTCACTCCTTTAGCTTGTGAGTTGCAACACAATGCATCCTTCTGAATGTGTCTCCTCCGCAGCTTGCAGTCAGTGTTAGAAAGCTAGGAGCTACCGTATTTTTCGCACCATAGGACGCACCGGACAATAGGACGCACTTTGTTTTAGAGGGGGGAGAACAAGAAAAAAAAAATCTCCCCCTCTCTGCCCAGCGCCCCTTCAGCGAAGTGGCAGGAGGCGCTGTGCAGAGAGGGGAGAACTTCCCCTCTTGTTTTCCCGCTCTAAAACAAGGTGCCGTTTAAGGTGCGTTCAGGCGGCTATCTTGGAAGCCTGGAGAGCGAGAGGGGTCGGTGTGCACTGACCCCTCTCGCTCTCCAGGCTTCAGGTTCCTTTCGACCTGCTCTTTGGGGCTGGCGGGGGGAAGCCCACCACCAGCCCCAAAGAGCAGTTCAGGGAGCAGCGGAGAGGCTCCTGCCATAGCCGCCCGTCATCTCTCCAGCTGGGAGAGGGTCGCGGGGGGCTGCTTTAGCCCCGCGCGCTCTCCCGGCTGGAGATGTGACAGGCGGCTATGGCAAGAGCCTCAAGAGCCGCGCGTCACCTCTCCAGCCGGGAGAGGGTCGTGGGGGCTGCTTGGCCCCGCGCGCTCTCCCGGCTGGAGAGGTGACGGGCGGCTATGGCAAGAGCCTCAAGAGGGTCGCGGGGTGCTTCTTAGGCCCCGCGCGCGCACTCCCGGCTGTAGAGGTGACGCGGGGCTGTAGAGGCTCCTGCCATAGCCGCCCGTCACCTCTCCAGCCGGGAGAGCGCGCGGGGCTAGCAGCCCCGCGACCCTCTCCTGGCTGGAGAGGTGACGGCGCGGCTATTGAGGCTCTTGCCATAGCCGCCCGGCACCTCTCCAGCCAGGAGAGCGCGCGCGGGGCTAAAGCAGCCCCCCGCGACCCTCTCCCGGCTGGAGAGGTGACGCGCGGCTATTGAGGCTCTTGCCATAGCCGCCCGTCACCTCTCCAGCCGGGAGAGGGTCGCGGGGCTATGGCGTCTTCGCTCCATAGGACGCACACACATTTTCCCTTCATTTTTGAAGGGAAAAAAGTGCGTCCTATAGAGCGAAAAATACGGTAAATAGCACCATAAACCTAGGTTATGGGCGCCGCAATGAAGTGTCTAGGCACACTTTTTAAAATAACTATAATACAAAACTGAAAATGAATGAACTGCAGCTAAAATATTATGTTCATTTTTCACATAGTCTAGTCCTTCCCCTGCCCACCCCCCTAATATTCTTAATAGCATCTCTTCTCCAGTCTTCAGAGAGTAGCTGGAAGTGGGGAGGCAGAAAAAGGTTCTCCTTTCCTTCCACTCTGCTGTTTTAATCTGAAATCTTAGGTGCAGTACTGCACCCAGAGCTCAGAAACTGCTCGCACTAATGAAATTCTATGTCGCAAAATGCACCTAGAACAATGGGAGATTCTAACACTGCTTGCAGTGCACGTAGTACAATGTTAATTATGAATCTAGCCATATACTGTCAACTATCAAAGGCAGGGTTAGGCAACCTAAGGCCCGTGGGCCGGATGCGGCCCAATCATCTTCTCAATCCGGCCTGCGGACGGTCTGGGAATCAGTATGTTTTTGCATGAGTAGAATGTGTCCTTTATTTAAAATGCATCTCTTGGTTATTTGTGGGGCATAGGAATTCATTCATATATATTTTTTCAAAATATTGTCTGGCCCACCACATGGTCTGAGGGACGGTGGACCAGCCCACGGCTGAAAAAGGTTGCTGACCCCTGATCAAAGGGGTAGTAATTCTTGAAGGCACTAAACATGTTAAAATGCTTATTGTTTTGAGAAAAGCTATGAAGTGACACTGCTTGCAGTTGAGGGCAGGTTTTACTTCATGATTTGTTTATTGTTGCATAGCTGCTAATGCACAATAGATGGTGGGTGCAGGTGGTGTGGCTGATAACTAAGCAAACGTTCATCTCATCTTCTGTTACATAGCTGTTTCATGGATATTTTGAGTAGCATTGTGTTTTTACATCCTGTTGACAAGTGCACAGCATCCAAACTGTTGTTCCTACTTTCTGTTTATTACAAATGTTGCATGTTTATAAAAGCAAACTAAAATACTGTAGATTCTTTGTGTCTGAATAAATGCCTCTACCAGTTATACTCTTGAAATAACAGTGGTCATTAATACTTCCAGCTGCAGCCAGCGGTCGTCTCCTTGATAGTATTCGCAAATGGTATTACAGTGCAGCTGGATTCAACAAAATTGGTAGGTGTTGGAAGCCCTTTACTGTTGAAGTTGTTTGGTTTGGAACCTGACTAAGAAGAGTCTGTTGTGGGGGGAGAATTATCTTGCATTTTGTCCACTTTCTGCTAGTATCTTTCTTTGGATTCTTCTTCTTGGTGTTGTGACTGAGTGTGTTAATTTTTATTATCCACATCTGGTTTTTTGCAGAAAAGAAATGGGACAGTTTTAAATAAATCTGGGTAAACCAGTGGCCTTTGAGAATACAGAAGTTGGCTGTCCCTGTTTTCGATCACGAACAATAGTAAAATATATATCAAAATCTAATACAGGTGTGGGTGGTTTAGGTTTGTCAGTTGACCAACCAGATGTTGTCGTATGACCATGATAAAAAGTGCCAAATATTCCAGTTTATGTTGGTTTAACTTTAGCTTCTTATTTCCTTATGGTAAAATTTGTTAGCTGTTACAGGAACAAGGCTGCTTGCTTCCAAGCCCTACAATAGCCTGGCCTAAACCTAACTTGGTAGCAAAGTTTGTCCTGCTTGCTACCTACTATAATTGTCAGTATCCCCAAAGAAGAAGAGGAACACAAGTAAACAGTAGCAAAAGTCATTGCTTAGTACTACCCAAGACCTTAGCATCTTTGGTTATCCCCTCCCTGTGAATTGATTGCCTTCTCTGTAAACTGGATTTTGATATAATAATAATAATAGTAATAATAATCTTATTATTTATACCCTGCCCATCTGGCTGGGTTTCCCCAGCCACTCTGGGCAACTTACAACACATGATGATGATGATAAAAAAAATATTATTTATACCCGATACAGGGTTGTCTAAAAATCTATGAAAGTTAATTTCATTGGGTTTCAAGTATCAGCTACCTAATTTGTAACTAGCATGAGTAATAAAAACTATTGATGACTGGCAAAGCACTTCTGGCAGGTGTTAGGGGTTGGGGGTGCTGCTGAAAGTGCAGCAAGGGCACATGCTACTGCCAGCAATATTCTTGCCTGCAATAGCCTATGTATGGCTTCAGAATGGTCTGGAGCAGGTCGAGCTATCATTTCTTGGTTAGTGGCCTGACTTGGGTGTATATTTACTGCTTTGGAGTCTGCAGCTTTATCAGTGGGATGTTCTGTGAGTTATGGACATTCATCTAAAATACATGTTTCCAGGCACTTGGAGCTAATAAGCTGCTAAAAATTAATTTCTAGAGCTAGTGAAGAGAGATGCCATTGGTCTTGTTACTCCTACAAAAAAAAAGTTTTGTGTTTTTTTTTAAAAAAAACTCTACTGATCTTCATTTGTGTTAACATGAGAAACATCTTTCTGCTACAGGACTTATGCGAGATGATACAGTGTATGAAAACGAAGATGTGAAAGAAGCGATAAGGAGACTTCCTGAAGATGTACGTAATGAGAGATTATTTCGCATCAAGAGAGCGTTGGACTTGTCCATGAGGCAACAAATACTTCCGAAAGAACAGTGGATAAAATATGAAGAGGTATGGTTGCATACCCATATAATAAGAGTCAACCCAGTTTTCTAGGGAAGGCTGGTTGTAAGCGAACATAAATATTATATTCAGCATAAATATTATGTTCTCCCATTAATAGGAGTTTTCTGGAAATCTTTGTATCAAATCTTCCAGTGCCCTAAAGACTCAATTAGGATGTAGCTTAGCATATTCAATAAGTATAGTTGGATTTTAATTAACACTTCGGTTTATAAGTAGGTGTGTGAGAGAGAGAGAATTATACATGCACACTTCCTGAGAATAAATACATGAAAAGGGATAATTATAATTTGAAACTGCTCAATTTTGCTGGTCTAGCCATTCATTGTAACCAACTATGAAATAATGCATTTTTTAGAAATGGAAAACTTTCCACAGAAAAAGTGTAGTAGTGGGAAATTTTCCATCCCACATCATTGTTTCCTTGTCAGACAACATAAGATACTGGATTTAACTAAGTCATGATTTAGTCCCATTGAAATCAAGTAAGTTATTTATCATGACTTAAGTCCCATTGATTTCCATTGTATTAAAGCATGACTGACTTAAGTATGACTTTAAACCACTGAATGGTGTCTGTTCATAATATTGATTATTACTTTGATGAATTGAGTTGAGTATTGGTTAACTCTTGTGATGCTAATCTAAGGCTGTAGATTAGCTTCTGGGTGGATGGAATGTTCATGGCTCAATTCAGAACTTTGAGGGGAATAGAACTTGCAGAAAACCTACTCTGTGATTCTTCAGCAAAAACATGGCTGGGAGGAGATAAGGGAACACTCACACTTTTCACTCACAGCACATGAGTGGAAACAGGCCATGTGAGCAGTCTGCCAAAAGACCCAGCAGATCTAGATCACAGCCAGAAACTTGCATGTGATTGTGATAACTGAATGCATCTTCGAACATAATGTGGTTGAGACAACTTATCTATAGAAATCAAGTCTTCCCTGCTGATCACGTCTTGCTTTGGGAGGATATATTTGTCTCCTTATTAATCTGCTGTTTGTCAGGTTTGGTGCAGTAAAAAATAATTTTATGAAACTTAATAGTGCATAATCAGGTACTTTATACATGACTTGTAGTATTAACTACCTTGAGTCTTGCAGGAGGGGTTATAATTCTATCTCCATATTTTTTAAAAAAATGGTTCTCTGTTCTGTCATAGTAGAGCATGATCAAAATATAGAATCCAAGGGCAGTGTTGTGTAGAGAAGGTCAAGCTTTGTCATAATCTGCCCCATAAGAATCTGTAAAACAAAGTAATATACCGTATTTTTCGCCCCATAGGACGCACCGCCCTATAGGACGCACCTAGTTTTTTGGGGGGGGGGAAATAAAGAAAAAAAATTATTTCCCCCCCAGGCACGGGGCTGGCGCGGGGGAAGCCCGAGCTTCCCCCGACCCCAACCCCCAGAAGAGCCTGCTATCCGCAAGCCTAGGGAGCCACGCCAGTCTACCCAGGCTTGCGGACAGCTGTGCGAAGCCCGGGCGCGCTGAGACTTCCTATACAATACCTATACAATACAATACCTCGGGTTACATACGCTTCAGGTTACAGACTCCGCTAACCCATAAATAGTACCTTGGGTTAAGAACTTTGCTTCAGGATGAGAACAGAAAGTGGCAGCAGCGGGAGGCCCCATTAGCTAAAGTGGTGCTTCAGGTTAAGAACAGTTTCAGGTTAAGAATGGACCTCCAGAACGAATTAAGTACGTAACCAGAGGTACCACTGTACTGAGTGAAAGATGTCTAGAGGTGTATCAGTGTTATTTGCAAATCTAGCTGCAGCAAACACAAATCCAGTAGCAACTTAAAGACTAACAAGTATTATGGCATAAGCCTTCATGAACTAGTCTTCTAGTCAATGGAAATTTGTGCTATGATAAATTTGTTAGAGTCAGTAGCACCCTCAAAGCTCTTGATTTTTGGTGGTGAAAAATTTCTTAACAGACGCTTGACTTATTTCAGGGCTTAATTGTAAACATGTTTAAACGCAAGACTCAAAAAAATTGATTCTGTATGACAGTTTCAGTAACCGATAAGATGTTTCGTAGGGCAGATGCATGTACTAATCACACAAATTTAGGGAAATGACTCTACAAGTAATAATTGTAGCAGGAAAGACCAGTTGGTGAATTAAGGATTAAGCATTTTAAATTTAGGTCTGCCTGCTCTGTTCCTAAAATGGTGGTGAAGTATCAGATAATCCATGTCACTGTTGATGCTGCTCTTACAAAAAGATGCCAGTATGAAATGTCCAATATCCTTAACTCTCTCTTTTCTTTTTTTTTAGGACAAACATTATCTTGAGCCATATCTGAAAGAAGTCATCCGTGAAAGACTTGAAAGAGAAGAGTGGGAAAAGAAATAGCTGCTGCTGCAATGCACTTCAGAAAAATCTTTTCTTTTAAGTTTTAAATTATTTTGTTCAGGTAGGGGTCTACTGAGAAAATCTGGGTGTGGAGAAATCTCATGTAAATCTTTCCTCACTTAATATTCATCCACCTAAAATAAACATTACCAAATCTGCTTGGAATCCTTTCTCCTAAATTGCAAGGAATTGGTTCAAGTCTTTTCAGCTTCATTGCATACTAACATGGTGATTTGTGATCTTCATTCCAGCTGTTTGAGTAATTCTTTTTGTCATAATACAGATGTTTCCTGCAGCTGGATGGGTAGATAAGCAACAACCTTTGCTGTTTGTTTCTGTTCTTCTGATTCATTTCTTAAAAGGGATGCCCATCTGCAGAATGACTATATAGCCATCATCGCCTCTTGTCTCTGGAGGTGGGAATGCAGACACACTTAAGTATTCAGCAGCAGCAACACTAGATAGGGATTACGTAATCCCTATCGTGTCTACCCAAACAAATGAAACGCTGCATTAATAGATGCTTTTGGAATTTGTGTTTCTTGCCAATCTTTAAATAAAAGCAATTGCCTCATTTAACCTGAATTAGTCACTTGGATTTATTTGCTGAATTACTAAGGCATACCTAGTATACTTTAGCCATGCTGAATTACTAAAGTATACAGTCCTGAGCACACTTCTGGAGTAAAAGTTCCTTCAATACTCTACATATGGAGGCACGTATACCACCTTACCACCTGCTAAATGTAGCCAGGGCCGGATTTACATTTGATGAGGCCCTAGGCTACTGAAGGTAATGGGGCCCTTTATATGTCCAGCTGTTCTTTGTCAACAACAAATTGTCGCTTTTTTTGTGTTGAATATATGCTATATGGTAATTGCAAGTAGATAAATAGGTATCGCTCCGGCAGGAAGGTAAACGGTGTTTCCGTGCGCTGCTCTGGTTCGCCAGAAGCGGCTTAGTCATGCTGGCCACATGACCCAGAAGCTGTCTGCAGACAAACACCGGCTCCGTCGGCCTGTAGAATGAGATGAGTGCCGCAACCCCAGAGTTGTCCGTGACTGGACCTAATGGTCGGGGGGTACCTTTACCTTTACCTAATTTATATGAACAAACCAGTGATATTTTAGGGCGCAGACTAGCAGGTGGGGCCCATTACTTGCATCATAGGAGCCAACACAAAACACTGTTGCTGTATGTAGGTTTTATTTTATTTGTTTTTTTTATCTTATATTTTGGAAATGTACATCCAGTGTTTTTTCCTTTAAATTTTTTTGGGGGGCCCCAAAAGAGTGGGGCCCTAAGCTATAGCTTATTTAGCTTATACGTAAATCCGGCACTGGATGTAGCCCTTGTGTTGTGGCTTCTTTACCCCGGCCTTTGATACTTGATATGTATATAAAACTTTAGTTGTGATTGTAATGTGTTTTAAACTGTTTTAATGCTGTGTTTTATATTGCTGTAACCTGCCCGTGGACCTTCCGGTGATGGGCAGAAAATAAATATTGATTTGTTCTCTCATTCATATTATATATATACACACACAGTGCTTTTTTTCTGGGGGGACGCAGGGGTATGCATACCCCTAAACATTTTGTGAATTTAAGTTTGGCCTCATTGAGGAGCAGTATTTCAATATGAGTAGGAAAATGAGAGTACCCCTAAACATTTTTTAAAAGAAAAAAAGCACACACACACGTGCAATAGTTCATAAACTATTTTGTATTATATAACTGCTTTTTCTATAAACTACAGGAAAGCACTTTTACCCTTTGGAGAATCAGATTGCTAGTGTGAAATAAAGAAGTATGAGGTTTGTGATCGCTGAGCTGCAGGTGGCCCCTGGGGCTCATAGATCTGTCAAAGAGCAAGTGAACTGAGTCCTCCCTTCAGATGCTACAGCAAAAGCTGGCAAAGCAGAGGTACAAGCGACTAATGAGGCTCTCCTCCTTGCTTCTTGATTATGCACAAATGTGCTCTGTGGTGCAAGCTGGCTGTTGTCGACGTCTCCAGTTCCCCATCTGTTGATTACTTTCATAAGCTCTACATGCCTCCGTGTGCTGAATACAAAATTAATCTACCCAGATTCTCTTTTAAAAGGCATACCGTTTTCCAAGACTAGAAGTACACATAATCTGGCTATGTTTTGAAAGTATTTAAGAATACAGAGTAACTCATCAACATAGCAGTTACAGAGTAACTGTAGCAAAATGTTTCAAGAGTTAGAAGAAACTAATTCTAATTCACCTAATGGTCCAATTTTATGCCTTAAAAACAGGAGCATCTGAAGATGCTGCATTTGCAATTCCTAGGTAAAGTTTGTCCCCTACCAGCAGCGGGCAGTTCAAGGGCTTCCCCAATTCCAATTCCTTTCTGTAGTGAACTGCTTTTCTGTCCTCAGCACAGAAAGAGAAAACTTCTAAATGAAGAGGACAGAATTCTGTTGAATTACAAAATTGCTGTAAAATGGAAGATTTCCCCCCCAGAAAGGCCCCTTAAGGGAAATCTTACTAAGTGCAGCACCATATACCCCATTGTCTTAATCTGGTGAGGCATAATGGGAGCAATTGAATAAAACTTGCAGAAGATAATTTGTGGATTTATTTAATTCTTTCTTGAAAGACTGTGGCCGAAACTGAATTCAAAGATAGCAGCACTTTACTTTGGGTGAGGCAAATTCAGACAAAGTGTATAAAGAGATCTAGAGCAAAGAATGGTTGGGAAGAAAAAGGGGTCTCAACCCTTTCAGAATGTAAGAAGAGTCTGCTGGGTCAGCTCAATGACTCATCTAGTCCAGCATCTTAGTCTCTCAATGCCTGACCAGATTCCTATGGGAAGTCTGAAAGCAGGACCTGAGCTCCCTTCCCTCTGCTTTGCCACCAGTTTTCTCTCTTGGCAGGGGTTATTTTAGCACAGTTGTAGGCAGCCTGGTGCCATCCAGATGTTGTTTAAATCAAATTCCCATAATCCCTGACTAGTGACTATACTGACTTGGGCTGATAGGAATCCCAACAACAACTGGAGGAGAAAAATAGGTGTGGTCAAGAAATTTAAAGGATTAGTTTCCTTCCCCCCTCCCACCAAATAAATGTCTTATAATCCTGCATGCACATGTGTGCACATGTAGTGTTCTCTAAAACTCATTGATGGCATAGTTTTTATACCCTGATACGCCATTTTCACTTGCAGTTTTAGTCCTACCAAATGCTAGTCCTTTCTACCCTAATAAAACTAAGAAACTCTTTCCATAGACTGAATGGAAAGAGTTTGCCTTGGTTGTCTGTAATTTGCCTCTCCTTTTTAAGTGTTCCCCAGAACCACTGCTCATACATAACTACATACATACATAAATACATACATACCTAATTGAAATGGTAAAGGTAAAGGACCCCTGGACAGTTAAGTCCAGTCAAAGGCAACTATGGAGTTGCGGTGCTTGTCTCACTTTCAGGCTGAGGGAGCTGGCGTTTGTCCACAGACAGCTTTCCAGGTCATGTGTCCAGCATGAATAAACCGCTACTGGCGCAGGGAGGACCGTGACGAATGCCAGAGCGTACGGGAATGCTGTTTACCTTCCCGCCTCAGTGGTACCTATTTATCTACTTGCACAGGCATGCTTTCGAACTGCTAGGTAGGCAGGAGCTGGGACAGAGCAACAGGAGCTCACTCCATTGTGCAGATTTGAACTGCTAACCTTCTGATTGGCAAGCCCAAGAGGCTCAGTGGTTTAGACTACAGCGCCCCCCACATCCCTTGTCTGATTGAAATATTGAACTCTTGACTGGTGGTGATTGATCTTTGATGGTAAAGTAGATTTGACATCAGTACATCTGTGTGCTTGAACCCATATCAGTGCCAACTGCATAAAAACAGGGTCTGTAAAGGTAAGGAATGTTCTCTCCCTTGCCCTCCCACCCAAACTCCTTTTTGACAAATTGCTAGAAAGTACTGTAAGTTGTGGGAGAAAGAAGACTTGAGTTGGTCCCTCTTTCCCTAAAACGGACTAATGAGAGTAGATCTGAATTCAAGCACCTAAATCTGTGCAGAGCTCAAGCATTGTGTCTTTTCGAGATAGATTTCATAAGTTTGCAGTACAGAAATGAATAATAACAAAAGTGTCCTAGCAATGATTAATAATAGGGGATGGGCTGTAGACCAGCAGCAGAGCCAGTTCTTTGAATATAGAAAAGTCCAAGCTCAATCCCTGGCATGTCCAGTTAGGGCTGGGGAATTCTCTGCCTGAAACCCTGGACAGCCTCTACCTGTCAATGTAAAAAATGCTAAGCTAGATGGATCAATGGTTTGACACTAAAGCAGCCTCCCATGTTTCCAGAAATACTGTTAACTAAAACACATCTGAAACTGCATCGAAGCTGTTTAGCTGAATACTCAATATGTAGCCACAGATCTGTATGTTCCCATGTCAGGAAAGTAAGTGTGAGAATTTTGCTGTTTTTTGTTGTTGTTTTGAGCAGGCACCAAAATGTGCATCAGTTCGGATAAGCAGAAAGACAAAATACTGACTGTGTTGGCTTACTAGCCTTGTGACTAATCCACCATTCTAAGGTTTAGTAAGAACAAGAAATGCCATGTTTTGGAATGGAAACAATAAAATAGCTTAGAAGAATTCTTCACCCTGGCACTAGATGGAGTTGTGCCATAGATCAATAAAGCACTTCTTCAATTATTCTTTTTTAAATATATATAATTTCAAGATGACAGCTTCTTAAAGGTTTATAGCCCCCAGGAGAATTTACTACTAAGTCATGTACTGATGTAATGAAACCTAATATATGCTGTGTAAAATGAATTATGAGATACTATTTAGTTTCAGAATTTTATTACTTCAATCATTTGTAGCTGTATTTCCTTTTATATTATTGCTCAATCTTTAAACAGACCAGATGACTGTATAAAGAACACCTAATAAAATCTGGAGATGTTAAAACACAAATGTTAAATGTTCTAACATGCTTGCTGTATTTTTTTTTTTTTTAAA